TTGTTTTGGGGAATATTTCTAATATTTGTTTAGGTCAAATCTTGTTTAAAGTTGGAGATGGAACTTATTCTTTATTTAAAGATTAGTTCTTTTACTTCGTTTATGATAAGGGTATTCTTTTTTAAAGATCAGTTCTTTTTTTTGTTGGGGGTCGTAAGACAAAACTTGTTTAGATTCTTTTTGTTAGGGCAAATCTTGTTTAAGTTGGAGATGGAACTAATTCTTTATTTAAAGATAAGTTCATTTGGTTTGTTTTTGTTAGGGGTCGTAAATCAAATTGTCATTAGTCTTTTTAAGTTGGATATGGAACTTATTCTTTTTTAAAGATCAGTTCTTTTTTTTCTTAGGGGTCGTAAATCAAAATTTTTTTAGATTATTTTTGTCAGCGCAAATCTTGTTTAAGTTGGAGATGGAACTAATTCTTTATTTAAAGATAAGTTCTTTTAGTTTGTTTTTGTTAGGGTCGTAAGTCAAATTGTTATTAGTTATTTTTTAAGTTTAATATGGAACATATTCTTTTTTAAAGATCAGTTTTTTTTTTCTTAGGGGTCGTAAATCAAAATTTTTTTAGATTCTTTTTGTCAGCGCAAATCTTGTTGAAGTTGGAGATGGAACTAATTCTTTATTTAAAGATAAGTTCTTTTGGTTTGTTTTTGTTAGGGGTCGTAAATCAAATCATCATTAGTCTTTTTAAGTTGGATAAGGAACCTATTCTTTTTTAAAGATCAGTTCTTTTTTTTTCTTAGGGGTCGTAAATCAAAATTTTTCGTTTTTGTTAGGGTCGTAAGTCAAATTGTCATTAGATTTCTTTTAAGTTAAATATGGAACATATTCTTTATTAAAGATCAGTTCTTTTTTTTCTTAGGAGTCGTAAATCAAATTTTTTTTTAGATTCTTTTTGTCAGCCCTATCTTGTTTAAGTTGGAGATGGAACTAATTCTTTATTTAAAGTTGTCAAATTGTCATTATTTTTTTTTTAAGTTGGATATGGAACTTATTCTTTTTTAAAGATCAGTTATTTTTTTTGTTAGGGATCGTAAATCAAAACTTTTTTAGATTCTACTTGTTAGGGCAAATCTTGTTTAAGTTGGAGATGAAACTAATTCTTTATTTAAAGTTTTTTTAGTTTGTTTTTGTAAGGGGTCGTAAGTCAAATTGTCATTAGTTTTTTTAAATTTGGATATGGAACTTATTCTTTTTTTAAAGATTAGTTGTTATACTTTGTTTTTGTAGGGATTGTAGATCAAAATTTTGTTTAGATTCTTTTTGTTAGGGCAAATATGGAACTAATTCTTTATTTAAAGATCAGTTCTTTTAGTTCGTTTTTGTTAGGGGTCGTAAGTAATATTATTATTAGATTCTTTAAGTTGGAGATGAAACTAATTCTTTATTTAAAGTTCTTTTAGTTTGTTTTTGTTAGGGGTCGTAAGTCAAATTGTCATTAGTTTTTTTTAATTTGGATATGGAACTTATTCTTTTTTTAAAGATTAGTTGTTATACTTTGTTTTTGTAGGGATTGTAGATCAAAATTTTGTTTAGATTCTTTTTGTTAGGGCAAATATGGAACTAATTCTTTATTTAAAAATCAGTTCTTTTAGTTCGTTTTTGTTAGGGGTCGTAAGTAATATTATTATTAGATTCTTTAAGTTGGATATGGAACTTATTCTTTATTTAAAGATCAGTTCTTTTAGTTCGTTTTTCTTAGGGGTCGTAAATTAAATGTTTTTTAGATTCTTTTTGTCAGCGCAAATCTTGTTTAAGTTGGAGATGGAACTTATTCTTTATTTAAAGTTAAATTCTTTTAGTTCGTTTTTGTTAGGGGTCGTAAATCAAATTTTCATTAGTTTTTTTTAAGTTGGATATGAAACTTATTCTTTTTTTAAAGATTAGTTGTTATACTTTGTTTTTGTAGGGATTTTAGATCAAAATTTTGTTTAGATTCTTTTTGTTAGGGCAAATATGGAACTAATTCTTTATTTAAAAATCAGTTCTTTTAGTTCGTTTTTGTTAGGGGTCGTAAGTAATATTATTATTAGATTCTTTAAGTTGGATATGGAACTTATTCTTTATTTAAAGATCAGTTCTTTTAGTTCGTTTTTCTTAGGGGTCGTAAATTAAATGTTTTTTAGATTCTTTTTGTCAGCGCAAATCTTGTTTAAGTTGGAGATGGAACTTATTCTTTATTTAAAGTTAAATTCTTTTAGTTCGTTTTTGTTAGGGGTCGTAAATCAAATTTTCATTAGTTTTTTTTAAGTTGGATATGAAACTTATTCTTTTTTTAAAGATTAGTTGTTATACTTTGTTTTTGTAGGGATTTTAGATCAAAATTTTGTTTAGATTCTTTTTGTTAGGGCAAATATGGAACTAATTCTTTATTTAAAGATCAGTTCTTTTAGTTCGTTTTTGTTAGGGGTCGTAAGTAATATTATTATTAGATTATTTAAGTTGGATATGGAACTTATTCTTTTTTTAAAGATTTGTTCTTTTTGTTCGTTTTTGTTAGGGGTCGTAGGTCAAATTGTTATTAGATTCTTTAAGTTGGATTATTCTTTTTTTAAAGATCAGTTCGTTTTTGTAGGGATCATAGGTCAAAATTTTGTTTAAATTCTTTTCGTCAGGTCAAATTTCAAGTTGGAGATGAAACTAATTCCCTATTTGTTCGCTTTTGGGTAGGACACATATATTTAAATTATTTTCGTCGTTGTAGTCTGTTTTAGATAGTGATTATCCTATGGAACCAGGCGCCCAGGAGTTTCCTATAAAACCCTCCTTTTTATTCCTTCCATTTAGACCCATTTTAGTTCAATTTCACAATCTTCAGGTTGTTTAATTAAATTAAAATGGTAGATGGATCTTGAAAGTACTTTTTGGATTTTGTCTCGGAACATCGGTAATCCGTGCTAACCCGTTTTTAACGTGGAGCATGTTGTTGCGCACCGGCGCTAATCTATTTGTAACTTATTTATCTGTCGTTTTCCTTTTCTACCCTTCCTATTACCCTACCCAAGTAACATTTTTAGTTTTATTATGGTCTTCAAGAACGCTTTAAAACAAAATTTTGTTTTAAAGCGTCCTTGAAGACCATAATAAAACTAAAAATGTTACTTGGATAATTCCTTCATTTGGACCTGACATGGACATCTTGGACTTCTTGGAACTTCAGGGTGCGAGTGAATCTTATACGCGAGTATGTATACAACCAGTATATTTGTTTTTTGCGTGTTTTTGTTTAATTAAATACTTTATCTGTTTTAGGAAATTTTAGGTACATAATATGATAAGGAGGGTGGAGGGTAACTCCGCCAGGTATTTTTTACCTGCCGGTCCCAAGCCCGGATAAAGGAGGAGGGCCCTCACTCTTTTCTAATTTTTTTAGATTGTTTTCGTCGGGTCAAATCTTGTTTAGGTTGTGGTTTTTGTCAGGTTGGAACTTTTTCTTTTTTAAAGATCAGTTCTTTTATTTACTATAGACTTCCTATTTAGCACCTTGTTTAGGTAGAAAATTGAACGTTTTCATATTTTAAAGATCAGTTCTTTTGGTATGAACTTAATACTATAAAGTATATAAGTCAAATCTCTTTTAGGCAGGGTTAACCCTGATGATGATATCATTAAAAATTTGTTTATTTGCCCTGAAAAAATCTAAATATAATATTAAACTTACAATAAAGTGATTTTTTTATAACTTTAATACCCTGTATCTTGAAAACAAAGCTTTAGAGCTTACAAGTTCTTATACCTACATTTTTCTTCCTATTTTTTCGATTCGATTACAAAATTTTAACTTATAAAATCTGAGAGACACCCTATAAACATGTATACAGGTACAATTTATTATTATATTATTGTCGTGCCGCCAATTTTAAATTAAGCGGCACGGCAGTGATGACGTTTTTTATCTATTACGTCACTAGCATGCCCGTAAAAAATAAATTGCAGGCACTCTAACGTGCACCTAGTCACTTCCTAGTTATAAATCTAATTGTGGTTATGTATAAATTATTGTAGGTTACATTGTGCAGTTGTCAAGTTGAGTTGTCGAAATTCGTAGTTAAAAATGCAATTAATTTGGCTTTGATGGTGCTTGGATGAGTAAAATCATATAAAAAAGTAGTTAAATATAGGTTGCTTTACGGCCCAGAAGAGAGAGTATTCCTAGCGGATAATAATCTTCGCTTTGAAAAGAATTAATATAAAAGAAATTAAATTTTTTTGTGAACGTAAATGTTGTCCAATAGTGAATAATGTGAAAATAATGTGTGATGTAATATTTATAAAACCAAATTCGTTACTTTTTTACTCCAAAAATGTCCATAAGGCGATGTACTTTTTCTTCCATTGTGGCATTTGGCATAATTTCATCAAAATTAAGTTATATTCGAATTCGTTACTATTATTTTTGGCATAATTATCTTTTTATTTATAATTGACAAGTAAATTATCAATAATAAATATTGTCAATTTGACAGTGTCAAAGTATTTAACTAGATTCTTTAGCAGAAGTACCATTTTTAAATACTAAAAATACTAAGTCAAACTGGCATAAGCCGCCAACTTAACAAAAAAACAAGTCCAGATAAAAAAAATTAACTGTAGTAACATACAAAATAATTTTTGAGCCTTTGGTATACACAAGTCACTCAATACTCTTTATAATTTCAATATTTAAAATTAGGCTAAATTAATTTTTATTTAATTTATGATGCCCCTTCCTTCTTTTTTTTTGGCTTTATTTTTTGCCCCATTTAATTAAAAATTAAAAAACAAGGGTGTTATGTAATTAATGTAATATATTAAAATGGGTTATCTTTGGGAAAATATTTTTTTAAATATTTTTCTGTTACCCCTTATGTCAAAAGGTATTCAGTATTTTACACACACTGTATTCTTTTTACTTTTTACAAAATGTTTTGATAAAATTTTTCCTAGGATTGTTTAAATGCCAGTGTTATGGTAAAAATAGATTTTAAAGTCTCAAAATTTAATAAAAACAGACTTACTTTGAATTTTTTTCCATAATTGGGACTGCTTAGGTTTGAACTGGACTCGCTTCTTATACTTTCTGGACTTATGTAATTGCAAGAACCTTCTGCACTACTTTTTATGACTGAAGTCATATCTGTTTGAACACAACTGGCAATACCAAAATCAATGAGTTTTATGCCACCTCCTGCTTGAATAAAGTTTGCTGGTTTTAAGTCTGAATGAATTATGCCTGTAAAGAATGTTGTTATGGAAAAACTATTTGAAAAAAAGAATGTTTTGTTTACCATGTTGATGTATTTCCTTAACAGCAAGTAGCATTTCCATCCAGTAGAAAAGTAAGGTATGCATTGAAATATGGGATTTTCTTAAAGCTAAATGTTTTAAAATTGTCGACAGGTCTTCCCCACCTTTTTCCAACACCACCAGCAATTTTTTCTCTTCAACTAAATGCTCACTTAAAAGTATAACATAATAAAAAATATGTTTTAATTATTTAAAAGATACACTTACTAGTCTTTCATGTTTATAATCTTATCACAATTTTGAAGTTTGCTCAAAATTTTCACCTCGTTTAAGTACCCTTGTGTAGTTGCAGGATCTATTAAAGAAACACATTTAATAGCATAATTTTGCCCAGTTTGTCCACAAAAACAATGAAATACCTCGGAACTACCCCCTTTACCAATTTTGTTCAAAACCTGATACTCAACATTTCTCACTGTAATAATATTTCTATCATTTGTATTTTCAGTTTTAACAGTTGGAATTGTTATGGGGGTTTCAGTTATCGTAGGCGGTACACTTGGACGTTTAATTACACTGTTTTGAGGGTGCAACATTTCTTTCTTAGCACTGAACTGTATTTTTGGGGCCTTTAATTGGGGCGTAACAAACTCATGTTGAGGTCTTGTAATGCATATCTTGGGAATATCAGGTGTTACCAAAACTGGTTCTTGTTTTTTTTTTTTCGGTGTAATCAAAGACAATGCAGAAAAATCCAACTCAAAACTATCTTCAACTCTTTTATGATAACTTTCATTTATATTTTGTTTATCCTCATGGTTTATATTTTCTTTGCCAATTGGTTGTCTTTTTGTATGTGTAGCAGTATGAAAACCTATTTCATTCGATTCGATTTCATTTAACTCTTCTTCAGAATCTGTTTTTTCCAATTTTTCGTTTGGTTCTTCCTTAGAAGAAGTTTTTTCTTCTAAGGGTTCTTCTTCATCTTCTTCTTCTTCCTCAGAGTCTGGTGTATCCAAATTACTCAACAATTTTGCAATATTAATACGATTAAATTTTCCAGTAAAAGGTGGCTTTCTAAAACCAAAAAATGTTATAAACATTAAGTAAAATCCATTACAAACAGATATAAACAAACTTACTTTTCAGAACTTTGAAATCTCCTTTGACTACTGTTGAATTCACTTCTAAAACTGTGTCCAGTTATATTATGCTCCTTAGAAGAATTACAATCATTTTTATCCCTAGACATTGAATAATCATTCCTCCTGCTAAAAACATTAACTTAAAACTAAATATTTATTTTATTTTAGTTGACTTACTTGTATTCCATGCTTTTATTGTTTAAATAAATGTGTACTTCATCCTTTTTATCCATTATTTGTAAATAACATTCAACTTTGTTTTCTTTGCATTTTGACGGTTGCTTTAATTTCAAATCGCGCTGCTAACTTCACGTCAAACATAATGGCGTCTTCCAACAATTCAATGATTTTTTAATGTTAAAATGCAATCGTGTAAAAATATTTTAACACAGTTTAAGAAATCTTTAATTTTTGTAATCATATTAAACTTGATATTACTAATTATTTGCATTTTTTGTTATTTAGGTTTTAATACTTTATGCAAATGAGCCTTTACAAGTTCGTTCAGAAATGAAAATGCTTAAAAGCTGTCCATAAGTTATGGACCATAATCACGTTTTTATTTATTTAAAGGAATACATGTACTTTACAAATCTAATTTTAAAGTATTTAACTAATGAAGTTTTGAAACTATAGCAAATTAGATTAAATTGTTATGGAAAAAATTGTGGAACGCCATTATTTAATCATGGGTAGAAATGTCATAATAAAGGTTGACAGTTGACAGTTCTTTGTTGACAAACGGTAGAAAAATGTAAATTATTTGTGTGTAGCTTAAAATACAAAGTATAAAACATGAAGGCAACAATATTTATTTATTTTTTATTTAATTTATGCATCATTTTGTGCGTAGAATGTTCGGCACGATATAAAACTTGTAAGTGTTATCAATATACCTATATAATATAAACTGTGTAACCCACACACTGCTGAATAATGTCCCATGTACTTTAATATATTTTGTTAAAATTTTAGTGTATATTGAAAATGACGATTTGTGTTCTCTGGTGACAAAAAGAAAAATAAAACTTGGTAAAGAATATAAATCTGCACTACGAGTATCACAGAAAAGGCTAAATTTTCACCCCCTGGAATGGGATAAGAATATGTTATGCCGATTCCAAGTGCAAAGTGCCTATGGAAAAGGTGGTATTTTGGCTGTGATACAAAGTCTTAATTTCCGCAAAGACGATTTTGAAAATTGCATTGATTATGTGCAATTTACTGGTAAAAATGGATTATCCAGCAAAAGATACTGTGGAAATATCACAGCCAGTATTGTTATGAACCAAAACACCATCGACAATATTCCTGAAATTATTTACGAGAATTCTTTTATTGATTTAAACGAAATGGATGTTAAGATCTACGTGGATAGACGGCCAATTGATTATAATATTAAAATGGAGGTTGATATAGTTTTCACATCATACTTACTAGGCAGTTGCAAGGAGGAGCATGTAGACTTAAAACCATGCCGGGAGGATTTGGACAGTTTTTGTATTTATAAGTATTTTTTTGATGATGGGGCAGTTAATTGTCCATTTACTGGGTGTCTGGATGAAAAGGGGTGCAAGAATCAGGTAAGTAGCCTATTTGGGTTTATTGTTTTTATAATACAGAGTGTTGTGTAATTAATGTTATTTATTAAAATACTGAATAAGGTGTAATGGAAAAATATTTAAAAAAATATTTTTTCAAAGATAAAGAAAAAATATGCATTAAAAGTAGGGTTTTAAAGTGTCGGAAAAAAACCGGAAAAATTGGGAAAAAAACCTGTTTTTTCCGTTTTTTTCCCAGGCCTTGGAAAAATTTATTTATTTTTGGAAATATACACATTTGAAAAAAAGTTGCAATTAATAAATTATAATTTTATAAATCTAAGTGTGAAATAAATATGTTGAATATGTTTTTTGAGGCCCGGTAGAATATTCTTAATCAGCGTTGGAAATTAATTTTTTTCTCGATATCAGTGTACGGATATTATCCATAAAAATTTGTAAATTTTTAGAAAAATTGACTTTCATTTTTTTGTTTTACCCTTTGAATAAAATTTAAAAATGAAAAAGTCAATTTTTCTGAAAATTTCCCGTTTTTTTTCCGGAAAAAACGGTTTTTTTCCACCGGCTCAATTTTTCCGGAAATTTTAAAACCCTAATTAAAAGTTTTTTATATTTTTGTGATATGCCACTGCCAGTTGTAAAAAATTGTTACTAAAAATTTTTCTTGCAAAAAATAAATATAAACTCAATAAATACAAAAGTTGTATGCCCTTAAAGCTCTAATACCCTTCTGTATTTATTTACTCATCAGCTATTAGCTTAAGCAATGATTAGAAAATTTACTACCTATTTTAAAAACTCCATAACCATAATTTTTTCATCGTTTTTTTCTTTCTGTTTACTCAGATGAAATTAGGACAAGTTCACAGGCTAAACTTTAAACATAAATTTGTGTAAATAAATCCAAAAGCACTTCTTTTACTTAAGATATTTACAATTTGAGCACATAACCTAAAATTAGAAATGCACTATAATCTATAGATTCTGTCATAAAAGTTTCCAGATTTTGTTTGAATTTACCTTCATTACAAAAGTGACATAATAAACAATTAATAAAAACGCCAAATTTACAATTTTGATTTTGTAATTAAGCTAAATAACTTTTTTGACAGAATATGGAAACGCTGGTGTTACCAACCATAACATAATAAATTAAATTAGGCAACCAGATAAGCCTAAAGTTCCTAGTCGATCAGTGGCGTACTTTTTGGTGGGATAAAGGCTATTATAAATTATTTTTAATATATTACATTAATTACATAACACACAGGGTGTGTATAGGAGAAAGACATTTTATTTGACTTATTTTTTAAGATTGACTCTAAAAAAACCAACGTTGTTGTGACCCCACAGTCCGTTGGAAATAAGGTTCTAATAGGATCCATATCTTCGCTTTTCATTATGTTTGCCTTATTTATTTTGTGCGTATGGGTGTGTAGAAAACATAAAATATTCTGTTGGGCCGACGATTTCGCGCATCCTTCGCCGACTGATGAATCAAACAGAAATGTAAGAAAAGTTGTTAAATGACTTTAGACAGTTTATATACTTTTTATTTTGTTTTAGTCTCGGGTCATAGAAATGAACGAACAAACAGGGTCACGTTTGGCGAATGACCATCCCCCAAGTGTCCCAACAGCGCCATCTATTGAGGAAGATAAAGATCTCCCGCCTTCTTATGATAGTTTATTTCCTGAGGCTTCCACAAACAGGTAGTAGATAAGTATTTAATTTAAAATTATATATTTTTTTACGCGAAAACGTTGTCTTAAAGTTGATGAAAATACTAAGATATTTGATTTTAAGACAACTTTATTTAAGAAATTGCACATAAATACTTTCGATAGAATTTTACAATTTTTATTTTTTTAACACATTTTTGAGATTTTTTTACATAATTTTAAAACACTATTCCAATAGGTATAGCTATTGTATATGTATTGAAAAAAAAGTATAAATAACAGTATTGGGTTTTGACTTATTTTTTTAATTTTTTTCTAATTCTAATTAATATTTAACTAAAAAAAAACGTTTACTATACAGGGTAAAGAAAATACGTTGTTTTATTATTTTAATTGACATTCTTTTTGTCCTTTATCTTGTATATTTATACAGGGTTTCCTGAAAATAAGATAAAAGAGGGGGTCAAAAAAACAAGGAATTATAAGACATATTTATTAAAAAAAACATTTGATATACAGGGTGATACACGTAACTTATTTATTAGAAGTTTATGGAGAATAGCAATGTAAACTATTTTTAAAAATTATTTTAAACTTTGGTTTTTCAAATAGCATTTTTAAATTCTACTAAAATTTGATTATTTTTTTATTTTTAACAGTTTTTGAGGTATTTTATTTTTTCAAAAACTTTGACAGATTTATGGTCTTACTATATCTGTATTACCACTAATAGTAATGTTCAAAATATAATCTCTTAACTAAGGAGCACTTTATTGAAATCCAATATTAGTATTTGAAAGTTTTATACAGGGTGTCTGGTATTTACGTTGACTTTTTTGTCACTTTAATTCCGTAAACACGGGGACTTTGCACCCCGCGGGTGACTTTAGCCCTTTTATGAAAAAAAATTTCGCGCTCGATAAAATTAACATTTATAATTTGTTGGTCTAAACCTGTCAATTGAGCGATTCTATTGAGTTTATATTACAGGAAAATCAGTGTTTTAAAAAAATAAATGGGATTTATTACCCTTTAAAGTTGTATATATTGCATTAGTGCAAAACTCTTAAAAATACACGCGTTTCAATTTCTATATTATGCGCAATTCTTTGGAATGATGATCCTTGGTTAACTACAGGTCGATTTTTTATTGTTTTTATCGGTAATCCCTTGCAATTGCTATATGTCGCTGCTAACATATGTCTAATAAAAATAAAAAATTAATTTTATACGGAAAATACGCTGTGAGACAAAGTAACCCGCAACCAGGGGGTAACTTTGCACGCCCAGTTTTTAATTTTTATTTTTGAAACTCAGCCCTATGTAAGATTATAACATAGTTATTATGAAAGAGCAACTCAAGACTCAAATTTTGGTAGGTATACAATATTTAATGTTTGTGATTGTTAAAACTACAAAAATGTTAAGATTAAGTTTGAAAGTGAGCTAAGGCCACCCGTGTTTACGGTACCAATAACTTTCTAATTTCAAACACAAAAAATTAACTTTTTAACATTATAATTATTGGTAAAACGTAAAAAAAATGATTTTTGTTGACCCAACAAAACTAAAAAACTTTTTCTATCACTTGGCTTAGAGCAATTTTTGGGTCACCCTGTATATAAAATTAGTCCATAGGTAACCATTATGTAATGTGATTATTAATATGTGTCAATGTGTAACCCTGGCGGTTTCTTGGTTACGTTGAAAACGGTGAAAACTACGTCTTATGTTGGTGAAATTGTGAAAAACTCGTCTGGTTGTTTCATTGTGACACTTTGAAAATAGGGTGAATATCCGTGGCAAAAATTGAGTTTGATACTTGTCTGTCTGGGTTTATATTCAAGTGTGCTTCACAACACATGACTACCCGGCACTTAAGAGATAAAAAAAAGACCTAAATAGGCTGTCTACGATGTACACTTGAAACAAAAGCATGGTGGTGAAGTAATAGACTTTTTATTCACTGCAACGTAACCATGAAATCGCAAGGGAAGCGATAAGTATTGAATGTAATGTATTATACAGTATTTAGAGGGCTCTAGTCTTTAATACAGTCAATAAAAGACTGTCATTGACTATTTATTTTGGAAAATTTACTGGTGACTTATGCATGTATTTAACGCTTTGTCTACTTACTCGTGGAAATTTTTGTATTTTTATAGAACAAAATATCGTATTGTGATTGCAATGTTTTTGCGATCTCTTGCCAAATAACCATGATATTTGTATATACCTGTTATTTTTTGTACATAAAATACATTTTTAAAAACCAATAAAAAATCGTTTAAATTTATTTATAAGGGGTATAAATAAAAATTCCAAACAAAAAATATTGGAATAAAATTAAATTATTACAATAAAATCGATTCGATTTCGGTATATTCGTAAAATAGCGGGTGTTTCAACCAATTCGTGGCATCTAAAATTCGGTACAGAGACAAAAGAAAACCAGGGAAAAACGTCAATATAAATGTGCTTAAATCCTTGTCTCGCGCGTCTATTAAATTATTCTGGCTCTCGTAAAAATACCGTATAAACCTCAAAAGACCTAAAAAATTATTTTGTATAAATCGACCCTATAGATATGGACTTAATTACCTGTAATGGTGTCTTCTCCACAAAAACACACAGTGGGGAATTTAGCCCTAATAAGATCAATCCAATTTCCGTTAATTTTTTCTTGCCTAGACATTTTTTCAATGGCAGCGTGAAGAGCATTTATGTCCATGTCTATCAAAGGTATGCTAAGGTCTCTATGGAAATTTATACCTGCGCAGTTCAATATAAAACGCCACTTGCGCTCCTCAGTCCAAAACATGCAATGGCTGGAAAAAAATTTCAAAAAAAAATCCTAAAAATATTTTTTTGTTTACGATAAAACTTGTTCAATGGTGGGTCTTTCGTTCGGGTCGTACATCATCATCCAAGTAACTATGTCAACCAATAGAACGTCTATTGATTGAGGTAGGTTTAAAATCGCTTTTTCTAGATTTTTTAAAATTATCATCACGTCTGAGCCGTAAGGGTGTACTCCGCAAGATAATATAAAGTAAATCAGCATGCCTAAAGATAATGATTTGGTCAGCCCTGTGGTAGAGTACAAATGAGGGTTCTGTAACATTTGTACAGCCCTGAATTTTTTAATTAAAATAAGATAATTTTATTAAACAAAAAAGTACCTGAAACTTGTATATCTGATGCGCATGTGCAATCCACAGTGGAACTTTGCTTATAACCTTGGTATGTTTCTTGCGAAAACCATATCAATGAGCTCTTTGAAGCCTCCACAGTTTTATATAAAGCCTTATGTGTGCCGAACTCGGCCACTTTGACTACTCCATTCAAATCCACAAAAATATTGGAAGGCTTTAGATTTCCGTGGACAATTGGGTCTTTTCTAACATGTAAAAATTTTAGACCTACAATCGATTTCAATATTTTTTATTGCAGTGTTTTTAAAAATAATGTTACCTAGAAGAAACTGCCTCACCAAATCTATGGGCTTTAAATTGAAAGCTGTGGTTTCTTTTAGTAGCAAAACGTACTGTCCTATGTTAAATTCACATAGCGGGGTTGCCAATATTAATTCACTGCCCTCATAGTCGCATGCGTAATAATGTAATATGTATTTGTGTCTTAGACCTTAAAAATGTTTATTATTATTATTATTCCCAAGCAGCATTTTTGGTTCCAAAAACCATTACCAAAGTGGTGATAACTTTAAATTAGTTAAGTATACTAAACAGCTACTTTAATTTTTACTTAAAAGTAATTCAAACTTTTAAATAGCAATATTTTGTAACAGAAACATCATTCTTTCCTTAAATGGTTACTATAAAGTAATAAACATTTAAATAAAACTTGGTTGCCCCCAAGAAGACTTTGCAACTTTAAAAAAGGTGTTATAAGTAAAAAAAACTTTCAAGTAAATTTAATTTGTAGCAGTTACTTTCGGTTGCTACCTAAAGATTATAATTATTTTTACTTTGTAGTCCTTTGCAAGGTAAAATCTCGAAACTGGAACATGAGTTAAAAACTACAAAGTTAATAACTTAAAAGTTATTATTTTAGTATTTGGAACGTTTATGGTACTAACCAAAACTACCGTAAAGTAAATTAAGGTGGAAAAAACCATTTTTTACTGTACAGTACCACGTGGTAATGTAAATAATAAATTATTTTAATTGTTAATATTAAGTATTTTTATTTTTAAACATTATTAAATAAACAATTTCTTTATACTTAAATTTTGATGAAGCGCACTTATTTTACAAAAACTAAATTCATAAGTTCAACAGTAAAATGTAAAGGGTTTATAAATTTACCTGCCTAATTGTATATATTGTTATTCTGGAAGTTATAAACTACATAAAGTACATATTTAATAAACGACGACATTGAAAAGCCCGTAGTGGTTCCATTTAAAAAAGGAGGGATAGTATAATCTAATATAAGTTTGACAAAGACAGTTAATATAGAAGTAAAAACAAATAAATTAAAGTAATTATAACGCTCTAGCAACGATCTTGAAACGTTCTAGTAACGTAGCAGCTACGTTCCAAATAGTAGCAGGGTTTATAGCTAGTGACATATTTGTTACCTTTTTGGAACTCAATAATTGTTCCCCACTTTAGTCGTAACTTAGTAATGAAAGAGTAATATAAAGATACCGGCGACTGTCGCAAAACACTTTAAAGTTTCTTCAATAGTCCCATACACGTAACAAATACTTAAATTGTTGCTTGGGTTATGATAGGAAGTCATCATTCAAGGTATATTTACCCAATAACGGATTGATCAAGCTCTTCATAACCTTACAAACTGAATGTTCTTTGGGTAATTGTTTGACAGCCAAAGGTTGATTGTTGGACGTCAAACCCAATATGACGGGGTTGAAATTACCACCCTGTGAGATAATATACTCTTGGTATTTGTGACGAGTTTTGCTTATAATAACATCGCCCCCTAAAAGTTTTTTAACGCCTTTTTCGGACAATAAACTGTGTATTCTGCACGCCCAACGACTAAAATATAAAAGTAGTGGTAGCCATAATTAAATGTTACAGTCTACCTAATATTTCCCTTTTCGAATTCTTCAGCCAACTTCATTTCCCTCTTGCATTTCGATAGAAAAGCTCTTGCAGCTAAGTTCTTGTAATCTTCTCTTTCATCCTCAGAATCGCACACTGATGCCATAGAGTGATAAAGGTGGTACGCATCCCTTAAAGTGTTTTCTTTGCTTTGACACTGCAAGGATTTGCTGGATTCGACTTTTTCGCGCATTTTGGACATGTCGTTAAAATACAAATCGTTTGAAGAGTCGGGTTTGAACTCTTTGAATGAGAAGTTATGGAGAGACTCGTCGCAAATTTTAATAGTGATGTTTTTGTTGGAACCTTAAATGATTTGATTTAGTATCGTTCGATGAATTTCAATACCTATACTTATACTGCATATTTGTCTATCGTTCAACACATCTTCAATGTAGTTTATGAGAAATACTCCATTTTCTTCCTGAGGGTAAGAATTTTCGTAGCTATATCGTATTTTCACGTTTTCCGATGAACACAAGTCGAATAAAAGGGTTCTTCCTCTAATTTTAAACTTCAAAAGGCTTTCCTCCAAAGTGCAAAGGCTTTTGTAGCATTCTCCGACATCTTTACCTACTAAATCTTTGATGGTTACTATGAGTTGGCTAAATTTATTTTGTAGATCTTCCAAAGTTTCCTTTTCGAGATGTTCCAATTTTTGAAGGTAGGCCAGATAGTTTGGTAATGGTTTTTGATCTCCTATAACACAGTTATGAGTTCTGAAATTTAAATGTTTGTAATAGTTATACCTCTATCATCTACATCTGTGTAATGTGCACAAGTGTTCAAGGTTTTGTCATTATCCCAATTATTCTGATATTTCAATATTATTACTTGCAACAACTCAGATAAATACTCAACCACAACATCCACAGAATTAATAACCTCATCATCCAACATATTATCAAGGCTGCCCTTCTTCAACTTCTTGTTTGCATCCAATAACTTCTCCTTATTGATGGCAAGTAAATTTTGCAAAAATGGTGGACTATCGAAAGGCAAGTTGTACAGAGTATTGGCCCATTGAGGGTACGTTTCTTTGCCAGGCAATTGAAAGTTGGTATCTGTTTGGAGAAATTGAAGGACCGAGTACACTATTGGGTTTTCCTCTTGTTTGATGAAGTGAATGTTTTCGCCTTGTCCATACGAATCCATGTAACCATAATTGTCTGTGTTTAACTAAGAGAAAGTTTTGTTTATGAATTTATTTTTTGAAATATAAAATATTAAACTCTTAAAGATGAGATAAGCCCAAATGAAGACAAGCAAAAATGAAGAGATCAATAAGCTGTAATGATGGAAATATTACACTTACTGTTAAAAACTCTTTACATAATGTACCATAATTGAAGTTCAAAACATGATCAATCGACTCTTGCAAACTTGTTTCATCTTCCTCGTAAACCTGGGGTTCGGGCAATTTTTTCCCACTTAAATGCAACCTCTCTAACAACTCTGCACTTTTTATTTTCGTTATCTTGGCCTTCATAGCCTTTTTGCGGCGTTTTGTCTTTTTACTTGAAATGTTCAAAGTGTGGCTATTTTGGTTTGATTCGGTACCATCTTCATGGATCGAAAATAAGTCTTCTTGAGGGCGAGTATAAGTTTTGAGGTTTTTTAGTTTTGCTTTCACAATTGTTAGCCTATGGTCATCAAGGATGTCTTTTGAGTTTTCGGTCGAATATTTCTCACAGTAAGGGAAAAATGTGTCAAAATTTTCGTTCAACCACATACCACCAATTTCGTTGCTTGTAGACAGTAGAACCAAACTGTAGAAAGCTAAATGGTTATTGCAATGATCATTATCATTTTTTAGTATTTCCAGAAATATATTTGGGAGACCCGACTGTGTAAAACTTTGGTAAATAATTTGATCTTTTTTGGAAAATAGTATTTCAAAAGTAATTGTCAGTAAAAATTTCAGTAGTTCTTGGTTCCTCATATGCTTTGATATTATCTGCAAAAATACTGTTTTATATATATTTTTTATTTAATATTCATAAGTTTTACTTTATTTATTTGGTAAAATATGTTAAAGTCCATAAGAATATTGGCTCCAAATTGTACATGTTGAACTATATATTGCATAATTGTCACCATCATTTCCGACATGGCGTACGAAAATTCAGGTTTTTCTGATATAGATATTATAACTTCAATGACTTTCTAAAAAAAATACACTTTATATAAAACACCCTATAAGTAGAAGTAGGTATACTTTAATGTATTCTTGAATGGGCATATATTTTTGCAACTCTTTCAAAACTTTTTCTACAAGTATAAATGGCGGTTTACTATTCTTAACTTCGGACGAAATGGCATAACATAATGCCATTCTATTGTGGTTGTCTTCTTTGAGAATTTCAGCCCCCGAATTCAACAATATTGTCACCACCTTAATATTGTTTTTGTAACATGCCAACATGAGCGGTGTTACGCCATTTGAATTTGCTATATTCACATTCACCTTAAAGAACATTATATAACTTTATTGGTTTGTTAAATATTACACAGGACAACAACAAAATAGCTGTTGGCCTGTGTTTTTTATTACATTTTCTTTTATTAAGAGTTTTATGTAATCTTCCCAGTCCCTTCTCACTGCAATGTGTAGCAAATTATGTCCATTTTTGCTTGTGTAGTTCACGTCAACATTTGTGGATGTTTTTATGATATTGTTAAGTTTTATGAAGTCGTCTTCTTCCCAATTTTTGTTCTCCAAGGCGATCATAAGGATGTTGTCACCATTGTCTGTTTTAATTTTTGCATCTGCTCCTTTAGATATCAGATATTCAATTATGTTGAGGTTTTTATACTTAACAGACCAAGTCAAAGGGGACGTATTGTTCTGGAAACCATAACTTTAACATGTGGTTTTAATTTTGGTTTGTAACTTACAGGCCCCGTTTCATTGACACTGCATCCCTGTTTCACCAACTTTTTCACTTTATCAAATTTGTTTATTATTATAGAACCAATAACCCATGGCGTGGAATTCTGGAAAATCTTGTTAGAAACCCCTAAAGCGATTTAAAAAATCTTACTAAATCCTTGTTTTTCAATACAGACTTTATCGCAGCTATTTCTTCAATTGTAAAATATGAACTAAAGTTTTCCTTCTTTGAACTCGCCCCAGCCTCTTTGGGAGGTGTAAGTGTATTTTTTACATTTTTCTTTTTGCCTTTTTTACTTTTGGATGCCATGAATGTCAATTTAAAATTTGATTAGTCAAGTCAGAAATAACCTGTTTTATTTTTTGGGATATTAAAATTGCCATGGCTATGGCCAAAGGATGTAGAAGTAAAACACTGTCTAAAATTGTCCATTTGGCCCTATTTATTTATAAAAATAACGATTTGTCATGGTGTAAAAATAACACGTTTTTATTAGCTAATATCTACATTATTAAAGTATAAAACTCAGTCATTACATATCACATAATAAGTTAACCCTAAAAAATTGCTGCTTATTGCCTATGTCACCTCTAGACTGTGGCTTTCTAAGGCGCTTACAAAACTACCATCTCCCAGATTCGAGTTCTCCATGGAGTCATTTTGCCTGTTGATTTGCACCACGTGGATTTCTTGATTGGAGTTTCTCCTCGACAAGTCCCCCATGATGGCTCGTGCGGAGTAGAAGCTCGAAGAACCGCTGACGTTTGGTTCTTGAATCGTCGTATTGGTTTTGAGGTTAGGAAATAGAGTGTTGTAGGATGGAGGTTCATCCAGGTCATCGTAGTTAGGTGGCGGGATAATTTGGCCATCTTCACCTTGATTTATTATGAGCACGGTGGTCGGTTGAGTGGTATTGGTGTCGTCCAATTGGTTTTTGGGCTTTCTGAAACAGCACTCCCACAGGCCACAGAACATCAGGACTGTACCGCAGATTAGTAGGCCCATCATTAGATAGCCCCAAGGTCCGTATTTCGAGAGGATTGCCGATATGGTTTCTGTGGCTTTTGGTTTGTCCATGGTGGTTGTTGGTTTCTGAGTCGTAGCTAAATAAAACAATAATTAGTATGTACTTTTTGTGATTTATAAAACTTACTTTCTTTCTTCCTCAACTGCCACTCGGGCCAATGCCCAGAACTCTTCTTGGTTTCTCTCGAAGCAAACTCGTATTTGGGTTTGGACCAGCTGTGCTTGGACACCATTTCTTCTTGCGGAGGTTTTATTTTCTTCAAGATTTTAACGGCGAATTCTTGGGCCAACTGCTCCCATGAGGCTGCGTTCGGCAAGTTTCCACTGCATATTTCCTCGTCTTCGTCGCTTTTGCTGGAGCTTTTCGGGCAGTGTTGGATACCATCGCAAACCAGCTTTTCTGATATGCAGAAAATTGGTTGGCGACCTATTCGCATGCAGGTGTGCATATTGGGCTCCTTGCAAATTTTGCCTGAGAAAAAAAGTTTGTCAAAATATGTTTTGTTGAAAAAATCATATCAATTGGGAATATCTGCTGAATTTACCTTTTCCAATGGCGGTCACTATGAATTTTCTGCCTTTGGTGTGATTTGGATTCGGTGGAGGCGCCCATACCACTTCGAATTCCGATGTCAGTAAATCTACATCCGGTAGACTATCTTGAGAACATGGATCTCCTTCCCAAAATGGTCGGGTGGAATCGTCAGGTAGATACTGAAAATAAAAAAATACTTTAAAATGTTGTCTTTGTACTTATTTTATTGAAAAAGTACACGTGATTTGAGGCAGCCAATCAAAACATTTCCCACTGACAATACGCATCAACAACTTGAGCGTCTGCAACTTATGTTTCTGCTTACTTTATTCTAATTCGTAACGTGTTCGTAACAACTGTCCAGTGTTTATAATATATTACCAGAAATCTATTTTTATTGTTATTCGGATTCCTTATACCTAAACAGCTACTTTAATTTTTACTTAAAAGTAATTCTAACTTTAAATAGCAATATTTTGGAACAGAAACTTTATTCTTTCTTTAAATGGTTACTTTAAAGTAATAAACATTTAAGTAAAACTTGGTTGCCCTCAAGAAGACTTTGCAACTTTAAAAAAGGTGTTATAAGTAAAAAACACGTTCAAGTAAATTTAATTTGTAGCAGTTACTTTCAGTTGCTACCTAAAGATTACATTATAATTATTTTTACTTTGTAGTATTTGGAACGTTTATGGTACTAACCAAAACTACCGTAAAGTAAATTTAGGTGGAAAAAACTTTAAAGTAGCGAAAACTACTTCAAAGGAAAATGCTTCTTATCGGCCATTTTTACTGTACAGTACCACGTGGTAATGTAAATAATAAATTATTTTAATTGTTTGTAAATGGTTGTTTACTTTTAAGTAAATAGTAATTTTGTTGGAAATAGGTAATAATTAAATAAAAAATTAATAGTAATATTAAGATTTTTTTATTTATAAACATTATTAAATAAATAATTTGTTTATACTTAAATATTGATGAAGCGCATTTATTTTACAAAAACTAAATTTTCAAGTTCAACAGTAAAATTTAAAGGGTTTATAAATTTACCTGCCTAATGAAACATTATATTGTTATTCTGGAAGTTATAAACTACCAGTACAAATTTAATAAACGACGACATTGAAAAGCCAAGTCCGTAGTGGTTCCATTTAAAAAAGGAGGGATTGTATAATCTAATATAAGTTTGACAAAGACAGTTAATATAGAAGTAAAAACAAATAAATAAAAGTAATTATAACGCTCTAGCAACGATATTGAAACGTTCTAATAACGTAGCAGCTACGTTCCAAATAGTAGCAGGGTTTATGGCTAGTGACATATTTGTTACCTTTTTGGAACTCAATAATTGTCCCATATACGTAACAAATACTTAAATTGTTGCTTGGGAAGTGTTGTAGTAATACTGAAAATTAAATTGTACAAAATTTCTTTATAATTGAAACATTTCAGAATGGTGTGTTATTTAATTGTTTGTAAGGATGTTATTTGTTAATTTTTTTCTTTAGGATAATTTCCATCAAATACTATTGTTACTGGGTCTATAAAAAACAGATTACAGTTGATTGTAAACAAATATTTTTTACTGTTTACGGTATAAATTGGGTATGAAAAGTTTTCATACCCAATTTATTTGGAAAATAAAAGACACCACAATATACAGGGTGTCTTAGATTTTAATTAAATTTAATAGTCAATAGAAAAATAAGAAAAACTACTAAAAAACTACTAAATTTCCGCTATTAAAATATGAGACACCCTGTACATATTTCACCTCCTAAAAATTTTGATTATAAACCTTAAAGTTGAAATATTTTGAAAAATATTTGTTGGATCATCTGACTTTATAATATTTTAAAAAAAAGTGTGAACAAGTTGAAATCCAATAAAAACTTTTTTCATTAATAGCAAATTTATGCTAAATAATTTGTGACGTCTGTTAAATTGTGTAAACGAGTATTTTAACATTTGTCTGTCATAAAATTAACAATTTGGTAATAGTAATTTGCGTATATTTTTTGCTGATAGTAATTTAAATATTTTATAAGCAAACTTCTTGATCACCTTGAGATTTCGAAAATTAGTTTTTGAAAAATAATAATTTTCAAAGAATTTTGATGGCGCTTATTTGTTGTTTGTATTGTTTTCTTATTGGAAAATCCTGTTTATAGCACGATTATTGAAAAGTAAACTATTTTTAATATTTCGTGGAATAAAAAATCAATTCTTTATCATTTCTAATTAGATAATATTTTATCCTTGATTACTAATGTGGTGATTCCAAAATTACATTATTTTGACATTATCAGCTCTGATTTGTGTTGTTTATTTAATTTGAAAACCCGGTATACCTATTCAATTTTTGCTTCAATCCTAAACACAAAATGGCGATTTGAAAGTATTTTTTCCAAAGTTCATAATCTAGCAAAACGTGTTTTAATTTTTGTATTAATTAACAATAATATACTACTTAGTAAACAGGTTTAAAAAAATCATTGTGGATAAATTACGAAGTACATTAGGGACTTTTTTAAAACTTCAGTCTTTGAATTCCAAAAACCTAATGTTAATCCGAGATAATGTTTATACTTTTGAATCTTTTTTGTTTGGTCCAGCGTTATTTTACTTCTGGCCCCTTACTTAACCACTTTTAAAAACCAGGTAGATTACCCTGTTACCTGCTCGTTAGATAATAGAGGCCTACCTGCAAAGAAAATTGTCTATTATATGGTCTAGGACACCCACATAAGAGAAACTTGCAATCTTTTCTAGTAGGTAACAAAGCCACCTGAAATTTGTGTGATGTTTTACGACACAAAAGAAATCACTTTTTTTGTTACACATTGATTTGTGGATTTTACCGTGAAAATGTTTTTTATTTAATTGTGTAGATGAAGTTCTCACGATTTTGCACATATATTGACAAAAAAATCGAAATTCATTGTGCGATCTAAACAGCATCCCACAGGTTAAAAATAGATATTTGTACTATACTTTGTGCATATTTAAAAGAGCAAAACGTGTAATGAATAATACCAATAAATAGTTTTGGTATGACTGTATGTATTTTTGCCAACATGTTTTTTAAATGCTTTGTGCGTATTTGTCCGTATACGGAGTAAAAAGAACTGGGGGTGAATACAAACAAATTTTTTCAATAAAGCTTCAATAAATTGAAGTTTAGGAATTTGCTGAATTAAGGTCTGTTAGCCCATCTTGCTACAGGTCAAATCAAGATTAAAAACGTTAATATTGAATATTACACCGTACAACACAAAATTGCCCGCATCGATGAAACTTGAAAAATCGGATAGAAGACGATAAAAAAAAAGACCCGTGTATCGGCGATTTTTTTGTACACGTCAAAAAAATTTTTTTTTTCACTTTAAAGTTTTTAATTAAGAACATTTAATATGTTTTGTTTTTAAACAAAAATATACCAATTTCGCTGTGAACCATATTATTGAAAAGGTATTAAAAATTAGGAAAAATGTTATATAATGTACAGGGAATATGTAAAATTGGTAATTCAGAAGGAAAAATTAAAAAATAAATCTTAAAAATTATGAAAACTATTACTTTGAGCATTTATGTATTCTTGGTTAAAAACAACTTTTAAACGTAAAAACAATTTTGTTTTTTTGTAAGTATATACACTGTGGGTTTGTTAATCTAAATGATACGCATATAAAAGTACGATTTTTATTAAACTGCACCTTTTATAGTTTTGTTCGTTAAGAATTAAAATGGAGTGTCCAAATCGCAATTAATTTTGTTATGTTTGTGGTTTATATGTAACTGTGAAACATGTTCGTAATATAAAAAACCAATTACGTTTCGTAATGGTACGCCCCCGAAGTGGTATGCACGTACTGCTATAGGTCATTATGTAAAAATAATGACAAACAACCCGGTAGTAAATACCAAATACCTACTATTTGGTTACCCCGTACAGAGCATTCTCCGGAATTGTGTTACTTTTGTCTGAACGAAACAAGGAGCTTTGGTTATAAATATGAACACCGCGAAAAAATCGCCTACGTTGAAGTTGAATCTGTAATCCCGTTGAAGTTGAATCTGTAAACCCAGTTGAAAAAGAAGCTTGGACATCTGCTGTTAATGTCTTTGAAAACTTTCTTGGTAACAATCGAGCTGAAAATTATATAGAAATTGTGCAAAAAATGATCTATGGCAATATGGGAGTATTAATGTCATTAAAAATTCATTTTTTGCATAATCATATAGATTTTTTCCAAAATAATATGGGTGATTACAGTGATGAACATAGAGAAAGATTCCACCAAGACATAGCTTTAATCGAAACTAGATTTAAAGGTAAAAATTTGGTGCACATGCTCGGTGAATACTGTTGGTCACTTTGTAGTGAAACGGCAACAAATTCACTAAAAAGAAAAAATAAAAGGCCAAAATTTGAAAAATAATTGAGTTGTATCAAATATTTTTATTAAACTAAATAATATCAGACAGTTTGTTTAATTATATTCAGCGTTAAAACAATTTATATGGTAGTATTGGTTTTTTTTACTTTTGAGTATTAAAATTTTATGGATGTAATGATAAAGTAGTTACAGCCTTATGATTATGTAAGAGTTCTTTAAAATGCCCTTTAAGAACATTTGTAAGCTTGAATAAAAAAAAATAACATTAATATTTAGTATGGAAACTTTCTACGAATTATCTTTAAATTTTGTGTTTCAAAACCAAATAAAAAAAAAATTTGACGTGTACAAAAAAATCGCCGATACACGAGTCTTTTTTTTTATCGTCTTCTATCCGATTTTTCAAGTTTCATCGATGCGGGCAATTTTGTGTTGTACGGTGTTATTAATCGCTACTTCAATTTGTTTTAGACTCACGTAATTTTTAATTGCCATGTTAATATATGAGTTTTTTACTCAAGCCAATGACCATGAGAAATAAATTACACGAAAATTACTTAAACTTTATTTACGTTTACTTAAAAATAAGAATATTTGAATTTTTAATAATAGTTTTATAAAAACATGCAAAAAAGTATAGTAATTGGACAAAGTTATTGGACCATAGTTATTGGACATACAACAACTTTACATCAAATAATTTTTTTTAAAGAGAAATTACTGTTGTAGGTAATTTTTTGTATTTCATTTTTGTAAATATCATATAATTAATATATTTCTTTCTCGGATTCCTCATCCCTTTTCTGGATTCTGAAGGTAACTACTAATTTCTTGGTCTGACTTCTGAAATAGTTTGTTGCAAGTATCATTAAGTATGGTATCTCTACTTTGTGAAGCATTTATAATGTTTAGGCCGGAACAGGATGATTTATATATCTAATATTTTTTCGGGTGGTATGTTAAAAGTATTTTCCGAATTTATTAATTTTGTTCCCATTAGTTTTTTATGTTCTCTATTATGCACTGTATTTAAATCGCTGTTATTCTGCAATATGTCCTGTGACGAAGAAATCACTATATTACTTACTCTCTAAAAATAAATTAGTGAAAAATGTCATAGCGAAAAAGCAGCCACTAATAATTCTTGTCAACAGCAATTTGTATCCAGGACATTTAGCAGTCAATTCCTATGAAATATTCGCTAAATCCGAAAATGTAGTCAAAAGTTATGAAGGTAGAACAGTTTTTGTCCAATAACTATAAACTATGGGTATCTTTTTTATTAGAGAAATGTTACGTAATAACAAGTCTATTAAAATGAAATGTAAACACACATTTATCTACATTTTCATCCTATACCATCACCACCTTTTGTTTTTCCAATGGCAGCCATATTGGAATTTTACATGTTTAGAAAAAAACATTTTTTTTCAAATTTACTGTCACCTATTTTCTATTAGTTTTTGTTCAACGAAAAAAATTTTAAAACAATATTTTTCACACTTCATACTTACAATGCTCATGGTACACGGCGGATGTCTTTCTGAATTGTTAAACATCAAGGTCCTATGTAGATTAATGCTGGACTCGACGAATTGCATGCTGATCACATGGTTTTCAGGTGAAGATACTTTTAATTTGCAGACAGCTGCAAACGTGTCCTGCGATAGCGACACGGTTTTCGAAGCTGAATTGCCACCTTCGATTAAAGCTATATCTTTGGATGTCAGGACACCCTTGGGGTCGCAGAAGTTTACCAGATTGGTTTGGGTTGACACTGTAAAAAAGAAAATAGTTATTTATGTCATTAGGTTAAGAAGTAAGGCTTTTTGTGCTAAGCACCAAAAGGCACTTCTTGGCCGAATGGCATACAACATTTTATCTTCAAAGCACTTTATATAGGTCAATTTAATTCAACATCAAAGCGGCCTAACCTCACTTTTTTAGAATCTCATTTATTTATTAGCTAAAGATTACATTAAATGTACAACAATTATTATTGCTTTTAGAAGCAGTAATAGTTTGACAATACCTAGCTACATGATTGAATAGAAATGGATTTTTGCTATTACATTGAATTCAATTAATTGTTTAATAAATAGGTAGGTATCTAATTTCAATTTGTTTGGATTTTTATTTAAAAAATAGGTAGTTTGAAATGTTTAAGCTGTGTTTAACATTTAATTTCACTGAAAACTTAAAGCAAATTAAAACTTAAAGATAATTTAAATCGTAGAAAAAGAATCGTGCGTTTTCTTGGTTGCCTAACCTCACTTTTTGTTTTATAATTCATATTTAATTTTACAATAATTTAATGAAAAATATTAAACATTAACAGTAAAACAAACAAATTTGTTCTTATTATAAATAAATTAAACCAGTTTGGTACGTTAATTTCTTAGAAAAGGATTAATTCGTCAAAACAATACCCCTAGCGAGAAAAAATCGAACTAATTACTTGCCTCATAAAATTTTTTATCGGCCTAGGCCATAACAAGGTATTTCTTTATCGAATGTTGACAACAATTAAGTTTAAATTATAGAACGCGTGGAGATAAAAGTTAATATTTTGGTTGGCTTGAAAAACGTACGTCCTAGTTTATTTTATACTTAAGATTTATTTTACAAACGTCAAATCTGTCAAAATAATGTTAGGTAAACAAAATATTAATAAAAATTATATCGTAATGTCGTCTATATACGAAAAATCAGATAAAGTGACGTAATCTTGGCCAAATGTGACCTGGGTTAATAACAATTTAGTATCAATTCTAGCCATTTAGAACAATTACCATAATTACAATGAACTATTTTCCGTGGTATATATTTATAGGTTTATTGTTTATAATGCCATTTTTTACATATTAATAAAAAATTAACAATAATATTAAACATGTATTTTTATAGTAAATCAAAAACTAATTTTTGACGTATTTTATAAGGTTAAAAATGTATAACAACCTTTATTGTTACTTAATTAAAAATAAGTAGATAGATTCATTAATAATATTAACTTAATTGAAACTAATAAATTTAGTACGAGTCGTTTCTAGAAACGTGTTAATTGTTTTGCAATAAATATGTTTATAAAACGTTGTTAATTAAAACAAAATTTATTGTGGGAAAACATTTTTTTAATAGTGGACACAAAGTCTCAAGTCCAAGTCCAAACTTGTGTCAAAAATGGTGGATGCGCCGGGATACTAAACGAAGAAAATAACTATTTTGTAAAAATTCTATAAAAAAATTAATTTTATACCTTAAATTTAGTTTGGTCGAATTTTACTTTAGATAGTTGGTATCACAGTCATTGGTTTGACAGTTAATGTCAAAATCGATTCGCCATGCCGTCCTTTATTTACTTAGTACAATAATAAGTGGCTGTTAATGTTAAAGAAGAAAAAAATAATTTTCTTTGGTGTTAAACAAAATTTATTGCCAGAAAAGTCTCGTAAGTACTAGAAAAATCATAAAAATATTATGCTGTTTAAAGTATAGCCAACCTATAAAATCAAGATTTTGGGTGGGATAAAGTATCTCATTACAGCACCGAAAGCGGTGTTATAATGAAGTCATTATGAACGCAAAATAGATAAATGTTATTTAATATATTTTTCTGTCATTCTACATAAAAACATGCAAGGACACAAATTTAAATAACTGCAATTTCGCTGATAATAACTACTAATTATTAAGTCTAATTAGTAGATATTTGTCGAGCAGGTCAACCTCATCAATTATCAATAATAATTATTATTATTACTTACATGTACAGTGTGGCGCATAATCCTAAATAAATTTAATACTTTATACATTTCTTAATTGTTAGTAAATTATTAAAATATCCAAATTTCTTTTGAACGCAAAATATGATCTAGTCAAAAATGCTTAAAGATAGCACTTAACATTTAAAATTTATTTTTCATTTAAGGTGTACTTTCAACATAATAATTTTTAACACTATAGAATCAAATAAATGAACAAAAATTTTCTTTTATGCTATTGATTTTTCACGTTTAAGTCAACAATATTTCCCATTCATCTACCTACCTACTCTAACAAAACAAAGGCCTTATTATTTATCCTCTAAATATAGATCTAAATTACTTCTTGCAAATCTATTTATAGAAGCTCATAAAAGTTTATAAGGTAACAATAACAACCTATAAATTTTACACCACTACTAGATTTTAATGGCTACAAAGCAATAAAAAATAATCGATTGTGTTTTATACTTGGGTTTTCTAATTTTTGTATTTATTATAGTATCAAGTTTGATAAATTTACTCCTTGAAAATGGACTTACAACCGTTTAAATCTAATATAGAACCAGTTTTTCACAGCGAAAGAAAAGAGAATGGTTTATCGGTTTTTCCCATGTTTTTTTTAACTTTGATACTTTCTTTCCGATCTTTGTTCGGTTCAGATTTGAGTTTCAGAATTTGTTTCATTTTTCAATTCGTAAATAAAAACTTGCATAAAATATATACATATTTTAAATTGCAATATCTTATTTCCTATAAAATTTATAAATAATGATTAATAACAAATAATAAACCGAAATAACATCTATAAAATACAGTGCCGTACTGAGCTAAAAATATGATTAAAAATTCGAAGAACTTTTGAGCGTCATGTAAGATGGAAAACTGGGTAATTGAAAACTGCCCAAATTCAAACAAAATTGGATAATTGAAAACTGCCCTTGCACGCAAAATTAAAAAAAATAAATATGCACAGTAGTTCAAAAATAAAAAAAATTAGGTTTTTTTATATTTTTAAAATTTTCAAGTTTTATATTTCACAAAATTTTTAATATTTTCAAATTTTCCAAAATTTTGTTTTTAATATTTTTTTTACTTTTCTACTCGTATAAATTATTTGCATGCAGAAAATTTTTTTGTTAATGTCTTTGTAGAGTTTATGACTTAAAATAACCAATATATTTTTTTTATTTTCTTTTTTCTGCTACCTTACTACGTCCCTGTATAATGCAAATTATAATATCTTAACATAATTTGTTTTTTGTTTACTGCACCAGGTCATGGGTGACATGCGAAGCTGTGATAAAAATTATTTATATTTTTTATAAATAAAAATAAGGATCAACAATTTCTTAATGTTTATATTTTAATTAAAAACATTTTAATTTTCAATAACTAAGATAAATAAGATTATTTTTGCTGAGGAAGACCCCAATAGTATTAGATAAGAGTAACACGAGTAAATATAATGAAGAAAGTTTAATTTACACTTTATAGCAAAATTTATTTATTATATGTAACTGTGTTTTTATGTACCTTACTCACTTATTATTTTGTTTATTTGTAGATATTATTAATGTTTATAACAGTTTATTATTAATTTGGGTCAAAATTTTATTTTAAATATAAAAATTTGTAGTAAAATAATGGTTATTTACCAAAATGCATAGAATCATGTTTCTAGAAAGTTTATTGGATATATTAATATCCAATATAACCTTGATGGTACAGCATCCATTAAAATTAATATATTTTCTCGTTACATTTTAACAGTTAGATCTACGTGTATGATACCTCGTATTTTTTTAGTGAATCATACTGGCAATTTTATAATTTGCGGAAATCCATTACATTCATTATATAGGGTGTTTTGCTAGTAGATGCTAAAATTAGTTTTAAAAGTTTTAACGACTTTTGAAGCAAGAATATTTGTCATTTAGATCCAATTTAGATATGGACAAATTTCACAAATCCTTGGCTATTACATCACGCATATAACATATTCGATATCTAATTAAATGCAAATTATAAATAAAAAAATAAATGTTTTAAAATACAGCACATGAATGTCAAATTACTTTTTGGAAATCAGGCACATATGCTCGAAAGCATTCAATTAATTTAATGTACATAATTTTTAGAACTAAATTATATTGTAAATCAGCCATTAAAAAATATTGTTGCTAGGTGATTTAAAAATTAACATTTTAGACTATAATAAATTAAACGTTTATTCTAATGTTCACCTTCAGATAAATGTGCTTAAAAAATATGAATTTTTTGGATAACTTGCCAGAAACGATGTATACGAGGTGTGTTCAGAAAATATCGGGAATTTTCGTTTTTTAAAACAAATATTTATTTATTCGTCTACATTAATGTTGTCGCCTTCAAAATAGTCCCCATTGGATATTATGCACATGTGCCAGCTCTTCTTCCAATACTCGAAACACTTCTAAAACTCGATCTTCGGGATAGCCTTTAGTTCTTTCAGCGATGCGCTTTTAATTTCATCTATGCTTGCAAAACGACGGCCCTTTAAGGTTCTCTTTATTTTTGGAAATATGAAAAAGTCAGACAGAGGCATGTCTGGCGAATATGGAGGCTGGGGCATCATTACAGTATTGTTTTTGGCCAAAAATGTTGTTCAAAATTTAACAATTTTAGAACAAATTTTGCTGCCACGCGTTTCATACCCATAACATTCTAAAAAATTTCATGGGAAGAGCCAATCGAAATACCAACATCATCAGCGACTTCTCTGATGGATTATAACCATTTCTTCCACTTTTTACAGGTTTTTATCGGTTGTTAATGTGCTTGTGCGTTCGTCATCTTCAACGTCTTCACAGCCATCTTGGAAACTCTTATACCACTTGTAAACTCTTGTTTTACTTATAGCAGACTCACTATAGGCCTTTGTTAACATTTCACAGAATTTATTTCATTTTTTAAGCAAAATTGGATACAAATTCTTTGATCCATTTCTTTTAACGAACGAAAAATCGCCGAGCTCATAAAACACGTCTAACCTTAGCGGCTGCCACAGACAAAGTAAACAATGAAAACAGCTAAAGTTTTTATCATACTTCGGGGGCATGTATGCCAACATAATAAGAAAAACCGGACCCTCCGAACCCGCGAAATTTAACAATTTCCGTTATTTTCTGAACACACCTCGTATCTTGTGTAAGAATTTTATTAGTTCATTTAACGAAAATAAATATACTATTTTTTTTTAATTTGACAAACTAACAGTGCCATTTTAAATGCCGGTAAAACAGATTCCTAAAAACAATTTAACTACTCTATTTTTTATAGATGTCTCTATACAAATAATAAAATTAATTGGTAATACATTATTTTTATAATATTTGTCGTAAAAAATAATATATAAGATATAATAAGGTACAAACATATATTAAGTAAATTAAAAAATCAAAATTTAAATTTTCAAAGTGCTATGAAAGTAAAAATATATATTGGTCTATTGGTCCCAAAAAAACGTAAAGATACTGTGATAATGTGGATTTGTCAATTGTCAACAATTGAAATAGGAAATGAATAAACGTTACCTAGGTAATAAATAACATAAACAACAGTCCGAAAACATAATACAAGTGCAGTGTACCTACAGAATCCCTAACATTGTCCAGTACTGCACTTTGTTATTTCGTAGGCGGGCCATCTGTCCAATCAATTTAAAAACGTTCAGAGACCCTTTTCAAACCCCAAAAACGTAAAACCATTAATGCTGCTAATGGTTCGAGATACTTCTGATTTTGAGGCTAACCATCTGTTAAAACTATTTTCGTATTTAAATTTCATTTAATTTTTTCGAGTTGGAAGGTTTTATTAATTTTCAATTATGTGTTTTTTAATAAAAAAAATCTTTGACTATAAGGTTTTTATAAAATCTATGCTTCTATGAAACAATATGTTTATGAAAACTATTATCTTTTTTTATTTGATTAAAAATGGATACTTTGTTTTTCCTTTAAATTGGAGTTTTCTAGTTTTATGTTATCTAAAATTAAAAAAATATGTTATTGTAAATAAAATTAACTTTTCCATTTTATTTAAAGAGATATATGTATAAAAAGATTAAAAAATCCAGCTCCAGACAAAAATAAATATTTTTTTGTCAAATAATTTTTACTTTTTTCGTACGAGCTATTGTTTATTTTTTTTATTATTGCTATATACTATAAATAAAGACGCCGAGGCTTAGTTATATAAATTTATATGTAATATGTTATTCCAGCTAAAACGAGTGCGACAAAAGGTCTTATGACATGAGTTCTTTATGCTATTTTATCTATTTTGCAAAAATTCTATAAAAAAAAACTAATTTTATACCTTAAATTTAATTTGGTCGAATTTTACTTTAGATAGTTGGTATCACAGTCATTGGTTTAACAGTTAATGTCAAAATCGATTCGCCATGCCGTCCTTAATTTACTTAGTACAATAAGAGGCTGTTAATATTAAAGAAGAAAAAAAATATTTTCTTTGGTGTTAAACAAAATTTATTACCAGAAGTAAGTAAGTACTAGAAAAATCATAAAAATATTATAACCAATATGCTAAATATTAAGCTCTTTAAAGTATAGCCAACCTATAAAATCAAAATTTTGGGTGTAATAAAGTATCTCATTACAGCACCGAAAGCGGTGTTATAATGAAGTCATTATGAACGCAAAATAGATAAACGATATATTTTATACTCAGAACAAAAGCTAGATACAATATACCGGGCGTTTTATCGTATTGGGGTGAAATTGAGCGTCTCTCCCAAGATGTTTGATGTAACGCGTCAGCAGTGTTGCCGTTTCTACCGATAAATCCGTAGATTCAAGAATTTCAGGTGTGATAAACATATCAACGGATTTGGTATATTTGCTATATTTAATTTATTTAAAACCGGGAAATTGTAAACTGCCCTTCATGCATAAATTTAAAGAAATGGTAGGACAACTTCGCACAGTAATTAAAAATGAAAAAAATGTAGGACAAATTCGCAGTGGTATAAAATTTAAAAAATTAAAAAACCAGCCACACATATTTTTTGTCTACAAGATGTTTTTTATTATCACTTAAATAAAGGTTTTAGATGATTCTTTTATTAATATGACACAAACCTGTACAGGGTGATCCCCTATAATGTCGCCCCCTTTAACTTTTTTATTTTAAGTGTCCCAAAAAATTTAAAAGTGTGGTTATGTAGGTACTAAAAAATACATTTTTTCTACGTATTAAAAAAAATGAAAAATTGATCAATATACAGGGAAAAACAAAAAGTTTATTTTTTTTCAATGGATCACCCTATACATATACATATATATGTATTTATTTTTCGATTCCTTGTAAAATTATAAGCATATTTCATAAAACATACCATATACCTAAATTCAACCGTTTCTGAAATATTTAAATTATTTTTAAGATAATAAGTTAAAATAGTTTGTCTTTCTCTATCTGAGTAGGCCATTTTTACTTATTTAACAAGACATATTGACATAATATCACTATAATAATTTATTTTCATTAAAAACTTTGGTATACTGAGGCTTCTTGATTTCTAACAGTTTAAAAAAACATTTAATGAAAACATTTCGAATGCGAATATTTCAGAAACAGTTGAATTTAGGATATGGTTTGTTATATGAATTATGCTCAGAATTTTACAAGGAATCGAAAAATAAATTCATATATAGGGTGATCCATTGAAAAAAAATTAACTTTTTGCTTTTCCCCGTATATTGATCAATTTTTCATTTTTTTTAATACGTAGGAAAAAAGTATTTTTAGTACCTACATAACCACACTTTTAAATTTTTTGGGACACTTAAAATAAAAAAGTTAAAGGGGGGCGACATTATAGGGGAACACCCTGTATATACGGTTTTAAGTGTTGAAAATAATTTAATATTTTGTGTGGTTTTAAACTTAATATTTCCGCAATTTTATTTGTTTTTATGGATATTTTGTTTTTTATTAACATTTAAATACCTACCTACATAATGTTTGTGTTTATACAAATTTATTTTTATAATACGTTTTAACTTTCTTTTTTTAATAAATTTAATTGATTTATAAAATTGACAAAAGCTGTCAAAAATATTTAAAAATCGCAATTTAATAATCATTATCAAAAATACTTACACGAAACCGCTTCCGATCGCCGCAATTCGCTGCCCAAACACAAAAAGTACGTAACGTAAAAAATTGCCACCTTAATTTTTTCCATCTTTACTTCAAATACAATTAAACAACAAAAAAGCACCAAGCAATAATACACTTATAACTTATAACTAATAAAGCCGAACGCACTTATCGACATGTACACGCGAAGAAAATTTAATTTTTCGGTGGAAAAACAAAAAGCGAAAAAAAATGCCGTCAGGAACGCGTCCTTCCCACCCCAAGGCGTCTAGGCAACAACTTAAGTGCTATCATCTTTTAAAGCGGGCTTAGGATGCTGAATGAAACACGAATCACGTTGGCTGGGTAACAAACCGTTCGTATGGGTCGCTACACTGCGAATGCCATGGAAACGAATCTTGTTTACGTTGCGAACGTAAAGTAAATCTTCAGGGGAAGGGATGCTTCACCTACTCATTGATACACGTTAAAATTATTGTAATTTATTTTAAAATTAATACGTATTAACTCAATAAACTTGTTTACCAGCAGTTATCTTGGATTTCAAATTCGAATAATAGTTGTTACCTTAGCATCGTATCTACGAAAACAAACAAATTTGTTTATTGTTTCTAGATTTTCTACAATATTTCGTCACGTAATTTCCCAACAAGCTTAAGCAATGTGCATTTTATTGTTCAAATACGCTGTTTAAACTTAAATTGCGTTAATTTTCACTTAATTACTTAAGAAATTCAAATCATTTACTATAACCGCCATCTATCCCTAAAATACTGAACTAAAAAGCGCCAACTACAGTTGATTTGTTTATGATTCGCCTACTCAAACAAAGAATGCGCTACAAACATTTCTTAAATTAACTTTTTTAAATTTATAGATTTACACATTTTAAAGCCAAAATACGCATTTTAATAACAAATAAGGTAACAATAATTACAACACAAAATACATTTGAACTTGTTACTATGGCGACAAACAAAATATTTGATCAATAATAACATTGTCAAAGATCGTAAACAATCAAGATGTTTTGGGGGCTTACTTCTGCACTGGATTTACTGGCAGAGCTGGAAAAACACAACAAAAACCTTCCAGAAGTACTAAACATACTAATAATCGGAGGAGCTGACGGGAGGCATGTTTTGCAAACAGTTGCAAAAAGATATCGGCACTCTAAAGTAGTCTTAAATTTCTACTTGATTGAAAAATGCGGGGAAAATCTGGCAAAACAATTATTGCTGTTAAATATTGCCCTGCAACCAGATACGGTTTTGGGTTTGGAGCAAAAAACCAAACTGTTCATGGAGTTGTATGGAAACAGTATGGTAAGGCCTTCGGTAGCTAAATATTTAACATCAACTGCCTTGGAGTTGGTTAAAATGGTGACGAATTATGATTATTTGAGCGAGCAAATGAATTTTTTGAAGTTGGAAATTAAATATAAGGAGAGGGATTATTTGGAGAATTTGCTGAAATTTTGGTGTGGGAAAGATGAGTTTAATATATGTGATAGTTGGGATAAGAGGTTGAGGAAAAATTTGGGAGTAAGGTGAGTTTTTACCTACATGACTAATACGCTAAAGAAGTATCGGGTTTTTTGCAACGCGCCATCTGGTGGACTTCGATAGCATTGCGTGAATTTAAGAATTGGCAACAATACATTTAAAGCATACGAACTGTACATCATTTTTAAATAAATATGTAGTTTTTTCACAAAAGAAGTCTTACTCGACAAATTTTATTCAATTGCACAGCTAAACCGCGCACGTAATTTGTGTTTTACGTTGCAAGGAAAAAACTAAAAAACTGGTTTAGTCCTCGATTTCGATTGATTAATCTTTATATCATTGATTAAGAAACTCAACGCTTAAATGCTTTTATAGTTACGTTAGTGTGTGTATTTTATCTAAGGGATCATGGTGAATTATTGTGTTTTTAATTGTGAATAAAATTCAAGAACTAAATCGGTGCATTTTCATGTTTTGCCAAAGGATCCAATTCGGTAAGTACATTTGTTGGTGCAGAATTAACTAATGATAACTTTACCTAATATAATTTATATTTAAGTTTGTACATTTTTAAGAAATTAATAAACTTAAAATCAACCATTTTTATATTTGAGTTCTCTAAAAAACGCCGACAACTGCATTTTAAACAACAAAATATCCCTACGAATTCATGGAGACTTTCTTAATCAACGCTTTTAATAATGCTAAATGCTGTTTAAATTTAGACGACTAGTGTTTGACGATGTTTACTGAATTGAAATGTTTACACTTTTCACGTTAATCACTACTAAAATTTTAGTGTATTTATGTGTATTTATTGTATCTTATACAGGGCTCCCACGGCTAAATTACAATTTTTTTTTAGGAATTTAGGAGGTTTTTTGGATAATTTTAGGAGAATTTTAGGAGAAATAAAGTATGCAAATGAATTTTTGTAATTAAATAAAAAAACTACATTGTAGGTACTTAAAAAAATAGGAAAAAAATAAATATGTCTTTTTAACAAAACTATAAAAAAATATCTCTTTGATCCCCTATAATGTCCCCGCCTTTTAACTATTTTATTTTAAGTGTCTCAAAAAAATTTAAAAGTGTGGTTATGTAGGTACTGAAAAATACTTTTTTTATGTATAAAAAAATTGGAAAATTGATCAGTATACAGAAAAAACAAAAAGTTTATTTTTTCTCAATTAATCACCCTATATATGAATTTATTTTTCGATTCCTTGTAAAATTCTAAGCATAATTCTTATAAACCTAAATACAAGCGTTTCTGAAATATTTAAATTATTTTTTAGATAATAAGTTAAAATATTTTGTCTTTCTCTGTCTAAATACGGCATTTTTACTTACTTACTTACTATTTTAATAAAATAAATAATAAAAATTTAAAATCGAATAAAATGTGTAATATTTCAATTTTTTAAATAAAATTTTAAATTTGTCGATAAATTATAGTAGATAATAAATTGCACCACTTTAATTTAAATAATCTTAAATAGGGGGGCCTGGAGGCGGGTGAGGCACCAGGAAAAACTAACTTTTTTTCGCAAACTTCAATTTAAATTCTGTTTGCGCAAAACTTATTTATTTAATGTCATTAAAAACTATTATAAATTTGGTTTGGGTCCCATGTCTAATAACTGAGATATTGGTATACCCAAAATCCACCAGCCGCCACTGAAATAATGGCATTAATGCACAAAACATAGGCGGTAATTTACTGTTTCAAGTTCAGCCACGACACGTTATTTGACAAAAGTTCGTGTTCGGCTACAATCGGAACCGCTTCCACCAATCAGGCATCGCATTCCTAAAGAACGAAAGTACCTTTTTTACATGTTTATAGTTTTGAGCGCCTCTTATTTTTGACAGTCATCACGTGTTAATAATTAATATCTTACTTAAAAAGTCAGTTTCATTAATAATATTAAATTTAAAAAATTAAACAGTCAGGTTGGCCTATTTATATTAAATTTTTAGGAGTTTTAGGAGATTGCCGGCCATTTTAGGAGGATTTTAGGAGTTTTCAAGACTTAAGCAAAATTTTATGAATTTTATGAGTTTTAGGAGGTGTGGGAGCCCTGCTTATATTTACAGAGACTGTATACAATTTATTTTATTTAGATTAACACTGTTTATTGGAAAACCGGTAAAAACTCAACCCAGGATTTCCTCTCGAAATACACCACACAACACAACAAATTGTGCCACGGTTTTTTTTTCGATATTTTTCCGGCTTTATTTTCAAAATACTCGTTTGTAATACACGCGTTTGACAGCTGATTTATCAAAAGTTGTACTTTTGTTACGATGATAACAGCCGAGTGGTGGCGCTACTAGCGATACTTCTTTAGCGTATATTTTATAAAGTTTTAATATAAAATTACCTTGTGACCTTCTAAAATCACAATATCACATTTTATTTTACAATTTTTTGACCTTATATTACAGGTTAAATTTGGTTGCAAAATTTCATTTTACAATTTTTTTATGTAAAATTTTATAATAATAATTATTGTTTAAATATCCATTTAAATTAAATTATGAGTTTAAAAAATTACATTTTGATTTTGTAAATTTATATATACTATACCGATTTATTAAATTTTTTATGTAAAATTAGATTTTGATCATGTGGATAATATTAAATTTTTATCACATTTTTTGTTTATATGTTTATGTTTTTTTGACCTTATATTATAGGTTAAATTTGGTTGCAAAGTTTCATTTTACAATTTTTTTATGTAAAATTTTATAATAATTGTTTAAATATCCATTTAAATAACCAGTTAAATACCTTTTTTAATAATGTAAAAGTACATTTTAATCTGTAAACTTAGGTAGGTACTTGTTTTACGTAAAATTGTAATTAAACCATTTAAATTTAAATACCTAATAATGTTTGGCCATGTAAAATTACATTATGAGAATGGAAAATTTGATTCTGTAAATTTACTATTTATTACATTTTTTACGTAAAATTGTAATTAAACCATTTAAATTTAAATAATAATGTTTGGCCATGTAAAATTATATTATGAGAATGAAAAATTTGATTCTGAAAATTTACTATTTATTAAATTTTTTATGTAAAATTATATTTTTATCATGTGTATTATATTAAATTTGTACTACCTACCTTTGAATTACATTTTATATGCAAAATTACATTTTGACCATGTTTTCTAAATTCCGAGGTACGACGCAAAACTGGGCGCCTTCGATTGGGACCTGCACATGCGCCTCCACACCATCGGAGGAAACCAGGTATGCAACCAGGAATACCGGAACTTCCGCTTGAACGGTGTGGCATTCACGTGGCTGGAATCGGAAGTCTCCAAACCGAATCGCTCCATGGTGTGCGCAGTGATCCCGAATGGGGAAAACTACATCCACCATGGATACTTGGGCGACATGCAAACTGGGCCTTTCGTGAGTTTCGGTTTGAGCTGCGAGGACGAGGAGTTCTTGAAGAGCCAAAACGGGCGGAATTCGTTTAGGAGCACCGATGTCACGGAGAGGAACTTGAAGCAGATTTTTTGGGAGATTTTGAATCAGAAAGAGTATATTCACGAGAAGATTTCCGATTACATGTTGGGCACCATGGTTTTGAAACAGGAAAAATTGGTGGTGGATGTTAAAAACGTTGACGTTATACCCAAACGTGCGGTGAGATGTATAGAGTTGGATAACGTTAAAATAACGTTTTTATCTGTGCAAATATTGGAGATGATGAAATTTAAGGAGGAATACAAGGATTTGTTCGATTTAGTTTATTTTGGGACTTGCTATATGAAGCATTTCAGCACAGATTTACTGGAAAACATTTCAAAGTCAAATACCCTTCTAATGATAGAACACCAACTTTTTGTGCTAAGCAAAAGAAAAAAAGATCTACAAGAGAATGTTGAGGATTTAAACGAAAAAACCAAGGATTTAAATTGGGAAAAACTACCCATTAACCCAGAAAAAGACAACTACATAAAACTAATAAATAAATAAAATTAATTTTGTATTTTATTTAAAAATAATTGCACTTACATGAAATCTAAAATAAATACTTCTAAGCACCCTAAATACCGCGCGTTAAATATAAGACACTAAATTTAGAATAAACATTTATTTACAATTATATAAAATTAGGTACCAAACAAAAGTATTGCTATTTATATAATTAATCAAGTTGATGTCATTTAACAAAAAAAAATAGCAATACTTTTGTACACACGTGTACATTGAATAGACTGATTATCACTATTTTAGAGCTTTATAAACGCCCTTATATAGAAAGGCAAATTTTGTTGCATACAAAAGGCACTTTTTTCAATAATTGCACTTTACAATCAATCAATTTACAATTGACTAGACGTTACATTTTTTTATAGGCACTATGTGTTGATAGGTTTTGCTCTAAAATAAGGTCTAAATATTTTCTGCAATAAAATAGGGAATGTACATATACTAAAAATATAACTATAATAGCTTTATAACATAATTTTGCTGCCATTGAAACTTCTTTAAAAAAATAATACAGTGCGCGTTAAAATTAACGCATAATAAGTAAAATATTTTTACCAATCTTTATGAAATTTTGTATAAAAATACTTCAACTTATATCTCAGTTTACGTGTTCAAGGGTTTTTCGAGAAAATAATTTTAAAGCCCTTTTATTTAATAATAAAAAACGTTCGAAAAATAACTTTTAGGGATTTTTTTTAAGTAAATAAAAAATATGCTGTTAAATACCGTATTTTTTTTAGTATACCCTGAAAATTTTGTACAAATCAAACGAACAATAGCGAAGATACAGCGCTTCAAAGTCGGTAAAAATGACCCCTTTTTGATTATTTTGCTGAAAAGTGGTCATTTTTGACGACTTTAAAGCGCTGTATTTTCGTTTGATTTGTACAATATTTTCAGGGTATACTAACAAAAATACGGTATTATACAGCATATTTTTCATTTATTTAAAAAAAAAATTCCCTATAAAAGTTTTTTTCGTTTTTATTAATAAATAAAAGGGCTTTAAGGAGTTGGATTTTTTTACTTGTTATGCGTTAATTTTGACGCGCAGTGTATATGATAATTTGCATTATAATTTTTTTGTATACTGGGTGATTTTTTTAACATGAAACTTTCAAATATCTGGAATACACAATTAAAATTTAATCATTCTGAAGGGGAAATACATTAGTGGTAAAATTCATTATTTTTTATTTCTCTTTTGTTGCAAACATTTTTAGGTCATATTATTATAGTTTCAAAACTTCAAAAATAATGAATTTCGTAGATTACAGCTCCATAAAAAAATGATTAAATTTTAAATTTCTTTTTGTAGTTTTATTAAAGTTTTAGGTTAAAAAACTCGCCCTGTATAAAATTATGTTGACTAGAATTATTCTGTACTATGCTCTGGAAATTTTAACGATTTAAAAAAATCTCAGTAATTCAATAATTATTTAATAATAATGGTCGGATTTATGTTGTGATGCGAAATTCGTTGCTAAAAATGTATGTACCTAGAAAATTTTTTGTACAGGAAGTTTACTGTAGTAAAAAGATTCAAGGCTACTATTTAAAATTAATTTATGGCATAGAACAAACAATGAATAATGGTTGGATACAAAAATGATAGGTAAGATTTAATGGTCCAAATAAATACATCTAAAAAGCGACATATTTTGTTATTAAAATCATTTTAATTAAATTCAATATTTATGGGTAAAAAACAGTTTTTATTTAAACGTCCAATATACAAGGTGCACCAATTATCCTTCTATGTGTGGGCATCTTTTTTTATTTAAAGAGCCACAAGGTCGGTTAAATTAGACAAAAGTTGAGTAATAACATTAAAATGGGATTTAAAAATTGATCTAAAATAATTATGAAAAAACTAAAAACCTGTAAATTTGGAAAAAAGAAAGTTTTACATAAAAACACATTTATCTACATTTAATCTAATTTGTGATTTTTATGCCTACCACCACCATCTTTTATTTTTCTATGGCCGCCATAATTCCAATTTTTCATGGTTAGATAGAAAAAAAAATCAAAGCATCTAACGATAAAATAAAGATGGTAACTGACCTTGTATCTCTTCAAATAAAAAAATAGCCATAGATGTATTATAAAAGTTATATAATACACAAAAGGATACTTGGTGCACCCTAATTTAGTTTTGAGCTCAACAAATCTAAACTGTTCTTTGTGCATATAATCCCTTTTGACACGTCACTGATTAAATAAGGAACGCGGTCAAATAATTGAGGTTATGTATCTGTCAGATGGCGCTAATTTCTAAAAATAATACAATGTATGTCTGACAGATGTAGGGTTTAAAATTTCCGGCGGAAAAATTGGGAAATTGACTTGCATTTTTTTCATTTAATTTAAAGGTCAATTTTTCCGAAAATTTCCAAATTTTTACGGATGATCTCCGTACAATGATATCGAGAAACAAGTGAATTTTCGACGATGAATATAATCATAATATTATTACCTATTCCTTTTATTTTAATTCAGTAATAAAATTCTACCCGGTCGCAAAAAAAATTGGTGGTGTATTAACATAACTTTCGTTTTATTTGAAACTTTGATTTATAAAATTATAATTTTGTGATTTAACTTTATAAATCATTCATTATTTTGTTATTGGATATTTTTACGTTTATTTTCTTAAATCAATTTGATTAAATGTTTTGTTTTATTTATTTTTTTCTGCAAAGATATTTTTTTAAATTAAAATAATGTTAAGTTGTTGTGTAAATTTTACAAAAAAAAAAACAAATTTTCCCACAAAAGACAATTTTTCCAAGGCCTGGGAAAAAACAGGGTTTTCCCACAATTTTCCGGGTTTTTTTCGACAGATACATAATTATTTGACTGCATTCCTAATATAAATGTCAAAGGAATTTTAGGTGTGGAGCATAGTAACCTACTTAATTAATTAAAATATTAACCTCCTGTAGTTTAGACTTAAAAATACTTGAATCATTTAGTTAAAAAATAAAATAAAAATGATAAAAACGAATTATGAGAAATCATTATGAAAACAACCTGTTTTTTATTGATTTAAATATGTTTAATTATATAAAACTGACCAATATGGTCATAAAATGTGCGTTTGAGGCAGAAAATCACAATATTTATTCGTAATAAAATAACAAAATTTCACTTGGGTAATTGGCACTAACCAAAATTAAAAAAAACACGAGGAGTGCCTGTTTTAGTTTGAAAAGAAAATTTCGATTTTGGTATAGATATGTACTTTTGTTAATTTTGTCAAGGCAGTGTCTACTAGGCTGGTTCAAAAAAATCAACTATTTTTTTTTCCTGAATTTTCGCACTGAAGTATCTTAATGATACCAAAAAAAAAGACTTAATATTTAGAGGTCGCGCATCGATAATTTTTATTTTCCATTTAAATAACACGGGAAATTTTGTTTTGTTTCTTTATAATTTTCTAGCTTACAAACTAATTAACAGATTTGTATGCGCGATATATATTCTTGTGGAAAATTGAACGCTCTACAAAAAATGTCTCATATCATTTTTCGATAAACCAACGAGTTCAAAAGTTATTCAAAGTCGAAGTTTACTTCAATTTTAGGCAAATTCATAAGTTAGTTATTATTAAATATAAAAAAAATCATTCAAAAATCAAAATTACGATGTTCAATAAGCCTTTTAAATCAATTCCACTGAAACACCTACTATTTTTGAAAAGAATTCATTAAAATTCTTTTTGATTGATTAAAATCCTTTTTTATTGATTTAAATCCTTTTTATAGAATTCTTTCCAGTAATAGTACGTGTTTCAGTGGAATTAATTTAAAAGGCTTATTGAACATAGTAATTTTGATTTTTGATAATAACTTTAATGAATTTGCCTAAAATTTAAGTAAAAAATGCACTTATGACATAAATTTAACTTCGACTGAAAAACTTTTGAACTAGTTGGTTTATCAAATAATGACAGGAGACATTTTTTGTAGAGCGTTCAATTTCCCACAAGAATATGTATCGCGCATACAAATCTGTTAATTAGTTTGTGAGCTGGAAAATTATTAAGAAACAAAACAAAATTTCCCATGTTATTTAAATGGGAAATAGAAATTCTCGATTAGGGTGTTTCATTTAAAACAAAAAAAATTTTTTCTTGCTGACACATGAAAATTTTGTTTTTTAGGTTGAAAAAAAAATTCCCTGAAAATTTGAGCCCTTAACTTTTATTCTAAGTACTTCCTTTTTAATTTTGTAGTTTTTCCATATAAAAAGCAAGTATTTTTAATCATTTTTACTTTAAATTTCTATATTTTGGCTGGGTTTTGAATTATAATTTTTATCACCATAATTTCCTGCATAGTATTCACGGTTTTTGATTTATTTACGTTGATTGTAGTAGCTCCAAAAGTCGTTTTTTTCACTTTTTCTCACATATTTTTGAGAAAATCGAGCGAATGACTGGTTTTACCGAAAAAGTTCAAATAAAAAAGTTGTAGGAAATTTAATTTTTGACAAAAAAGATTCTTACGTTCATATCACTAGTGCTTTGTTTAAGAGATATAAGCAATTTAATAACCAAAAACAAAGAAAAAATAGGTTTTATTGAAATTTATGTAATTTCATTTAACAACTATATATTGCTTATATCTCTTAAACAAAGCACTTTAGTGATATGAACGTGAAAACATTTTTTGTCAAAAATTAAATTTTACAACTTTTTTATTTGAACTTTTTCGGTAAAACCAGTCATTCGCTCGATTTTCTCAAAAATATGTGAAAAGAGTGAAAAAACGACTTTTGGAGCTACAACAATCAACGTAAATAAATCAAAAACAAAATTGATGCAGGGCCTTTCAAAAACCGTGAATACTATGCAGAAAATTATGGTGATAAAAATTATAATTCAAAACCCGGCCAAAATATAGAAATTTAAAGTAAAAATGATTAAAAATACATGCTTTTTATATGGAAAAACTACAAAATAAAAAGTACTTAGAATGAAAATTAAGGGCTCAAATTTTCAGGGAATTTTTTTTTCAACCTAAAAACCAAAATTTTCATGTGTCAGCAAGAAAAAAAAAATTCGTTTTAAATGAAACACCCTATTCTCTATGCGCGACATCTAAATATTTAAATTAAGAGCTCCGGTTTTCACAGGCGTCTTTCTTGGTACAGTGAAAATTTCAGGAAAAAAATAGTTGATTTTTTGTACAGTCTAGTCTTTACCAAAACATTTTATCACCAAAACTAACTTTCCAACTGAAAGCACCCCTCCGCAACAACAAAAATGCATAAAAACCTGCACTACGTCGTAGCGGCTTTGGGCCGCTTGTGACCGTGCAGCCCGCTGAACAGCTTCTTGATCCTGGACATGCGCGTTTTTTTTTTGACGGTGGGGGCGGGCGAGGCGTCGCCGGCTTCTGATTCGCCGCGCGACGGCGGCGCCACCTCTTCGATGATGTCGGTTTCGTCGGGCGCGGTCTCGACGGCGGGCTCCACGAAGTGCACCGAGTGGTGGTCGTGCGACCTCGTCGGCACTTCGACGACGTCGTCGGCCAGCGGGGTGGGGGTGTGCTGCTGCAGGACCGAGCGCAGCGTTTCGAGGTTGTTTTCCGTGGGCGCCAAGGAGATTTGTATCGACGGTGCGGCGCTGCAGAGAAATTAACGTTTTTATTTCCACCTCACGGTGCTGTTCTGAGAAGTGATTTTTGGACTTTCTGTGAAACCTAATTTTTTTATATATTCTTGTTATCTAGGTCATAACTAAAATTTTAAGAGCAAAATAGAAAAAAATTGACGGTGTGAATTGTTTTAATTGGCTGTTTATTAAAAATATTATGCACTCTTTCAATTATCCAATTAAAACTAGCGATTTAATTTAAATATTTAATATTTGCATAACTAAAAAAAAGGTTTTTACAATTTTTTTTATAAATTTTACTGTTTTGATGCAATAAACGTTCAAACTTTTAATTTAACCTTTGACGTATACATTTATGTTCCCTTAATTAATATATCCTTAAAGGTTGCCATGAAACTTAGATCTATTAAAAATTTATTTGATGTTTGAATTGTCATTTTCAGTATACGTATTCTATAATTTTTGTTTAGTTTTTTAAGTGTTTTTTATAAACAAAAATGAAAAATTGTAGTAAAAGTTACGAAGAAATTCATGAAATTTAACTAAGGACCGGTTTATTCATCTTTAGTAAAGTTTATCGGGCCGATAACTTTCATGTCTTGGCAATATCTAGTATCCAAAGAAATTATTCGTCAAATAAATCAAAAATGAATAAATCGGCCCTAAATAAAATGTGGCACCCTTAGAATTATTGTTTAATAAATGTATACTATACATTTAACCTTAAATTAAAACTTTAAACGTGTATTACAACAAAACAGTAAAAGATATAAAAAATGTATAGACCTTTTTTAGGAAATTAACTAATCTTTAATCTGATTTAAAAAGTTATGATAATATTTAAATATAATCGCAAATTTTAATTGGAGAATTGAAAGTGTGCATACATATTTTTAATAAACATCCAATTAAAACAAAATTAACCGTCAAATTTTTTTTATTTTGCTCTTAAAATTTTAGTTATGACCTAATTAACAAGAATATAAAAAAAATTAGGTTTCACAGAAAGTCCAAAAATCACCTCTCAGAACAGCACCGTGAGACCTGTAATATTTTACGGGCTTGTATAATATTATTTATAGAGATGTAAAAAACGATTTTTTTCAGATGTAAAAAAAACATGAAAAAAAATGTTTTTTGTGATTTGTATGCTTGAAATGTCCGTAAAATAGATAATTAAATGATTTTCAAAATTAAATAAATTAAATCTAACATCTGTCAAACCGTTAACCTCACTTTTTAATAATTTTAAATGTTTTAAAACCCGATTGGTTTAAATCACACTGAATATTGAAATCGTCCAATCACTGATGCCTAACAACGTACATAAATAATGAGTTCATTATTCACGTTGTTAGACTGGGAATTTATAATGTTTATCAATATTCGCGGAAAAAACTATGCAATAGGAGTAGATAAAAATCTTTATTATGGAAATTAAAAATACATACAAATAAAAAATCTTTATCCATGAGTCATGGGTTTTAACATTTCCGGAAAAATTTTAGCCGGCAAAAAAAACGGAAAAATTGTGAAATTTTCAAAAAAATTAACTTTTGCATTTTTTCTTTTTATTTAAAGAAATGATAAAGTCAATTTTGTTGAAAATTTTCAAATATCTGTACATTGGTATCAAGAAAAAAAATTTGACTCTGATTATAATATTCATTCATATTATTATAATTCAGTAAAAATCTTCTACCGGGTCGCAAAAAAATTCGGTGCTGTAATTATCATTTTATTTGACGCATCATTTATAAAATTAAAATTTTGTAATTTAACTTTATAAATCATTCAATATTTTGTAAATGGATATTTTTAATGGACTCCCTTTTGCAAAAACAATATATTACCTATAACGTTTACGTTTATTTTCTCAATCAATTTAATTCAATGTTTAGTTTTATTTGTTTTTTTTTATAAATAATAATTAATTGTTGATTTCTTTGTATATTAAAAAAAAACAATTTTTTCCAAAAATGCCAAGGCTTGGGAAAGAAAAACGGGTTTTCTCCCAATTTTTCCGGGTTTTTCCGGCACTTTAAAACTATGATAAATAATAGATAAAAACTATACTTTTGTCTACAAAAAAATAAAAATTTAATATTTTTGTACAAAAAAAATTAAAATTTAATATTTTTTGTGTAAATGGGAAATACACAAAATAATATAAATTTATGTTAAAAAATCAAAATAATGATTAAAAAATATTAGTGTTAAAACTAAATAAATAAATAAAATTTACCTAATTTGTGCATCATTTGGTGGGGTTATTTGAATAGTGGGTGCACTAGAAAAATAAATAAAATCCGTTATTTTTCGCAAGATTGTTATAATTTTTTTTTTGGTTAAAATTTTGATAAAATTATGAAATGATTTTATTAATGAATGAGAAAAGAAAATAAATGTCTCACCAATAAGTTGTGACTTTTACTGATTGGTATAATTTCCTCCAGAAATCATACAAAGCTGTAGACTGTGCTTTCCTATAATCCAAAATAAAATAAATCCTATAGTCACTAGGCAAATCCACATCTTTATATGTGCATGGTATAATTTTTCTATATCTCTGACCTACAAAAAAATCAATAAAAAACAATGCATTACAAGATTAGATATGTTTAAAAAAAAAATCTAAAACCTTACTGTTGTCCAAGGATTGCGCATAACTGTACAAAAACTTGTTTTGCGAGCTGTGTAAAAATGCAGGCGTCAAAACGACAACCAATCTGTTGCACCTCTCCGTAATCAATCTTATGATGGATGCATGTTCGAACACGCCCCCAACAAGATCCCTGTCCTTCGAACAGAACTTCAAATTGTACTCGTCCTCCATGGTTTTCATAAGTTTGGTGGCAAAGTCGATGTCGTCGTCGGCGAATAACACAAAAGCGTCGTAGATTTGGGGACCTTGACCCAGGGCTTTACGCTGGTCATCGTCGTAGGTTAGAATTTCAAATTCCGATTTGGGGTTTACTGGTTCTGGGTTGTAGCCATTGGGATTTTGGTGGTATAATCTCACATCCTCATCTTTAATGTTATAATAAAATTTTTGTTACAACAAGATAAGTAACATGTAATAAAAATTATCACTTTATTACCCTTAAATAAAACAAATAAAGTTTTTTACCTATTAGATGTGTGACATCTTCAACCACATCACATCTGTCGATTTTCTCCAAAAAATCCAAAAACTTTTGTACTGTATTATTTTGTTTGTCCTTTTCAAACCAATTCTGCAAAATCAGTTCCACCTGATTATTACTACTTTGTATATTAGGCAATGCTGTATTATCAATATCACATAAAGCTGCCAATCCCCTCCAATCTCTAAAGATTAACATAATTAACAAAAACAATAGAGAACCTTGATGTTAATATTAAAAATACCTGGACAGTTTGTTATCACTGGTAAAATGCTTGGTTGGGTTCAATAAATGGGATATTTGAGTGATTGTGTCCTTTCTTAAAGCTCTTATTGTCACATTTTTATCTTCCATATCAACGCTCTCCTCCATATCTACTAATTAATGTTTTTAAATAGTTTACAAAATAACACATAACCTTGCTTTCATTGCTTACCAAACGATCCTATTGGTGCCAACTACGTAGATTAGTTAATTTAGGTATCCGTAATTTTTCATGGCGTCTTATAATTGGTAACCAATTATTAGCTAATAGTTCAAATAAAGTCGTCGAAAAAGATTATTTTCAATGATTCTTTAGTATTTTGATAACTGCAAATTGACATTTCTCAATTTATTCTACTAAAAAAATAATCCCCCCATGTCAAACCAAGGTTACCAAAAAAATAACTAAAACTCAACTAAAAATAAACAAATACACCTTATTTTATATTCCCTCTTCTGTAAAGTAAGAAACAGCCCAAAAAATAACAATTAATTTCGTTTTTAGACATTATTGTTCCATATTAACACAGTTTGCTACAAATTTAGTGACTTTTTTTAACAAGTGGTAACAACTTAATTATTTAATTTGAAATTTATAAATAACTCATAATTTAGACCTCTTTAATAAAAATTAATTTAAATAATTAAAATTTTATTATATATTTATATTATTAAAAACAGTTCTAAATAAAATTTTAGCTTTTTATTGTAATAAAATATATGCAACCAAGATTACAATAGGGCTTCTGGTTGCCTATATTCGTTTTGTCAACTGGACACCTATAACCTCAAAAATTACATTACTGCATTTCTCTGCAATGCAAAAACACGTGTTGTAAAATCTTGTTTGTTGTGTAAGTTCTGTTTGATTTATAACAAGCAAAATGGGTAGGAAAGCAAAGTTTACTGAAGGTGTCCTAGTGAAAAAAGGGCCTGGCAAAAAATCTAAGAAACAAAAAGATCCTACTTTTCCAAAAGCATTGGGAGGTAAGTTTTACAAGTTTTACCGAAGTTATTTTTAGAGAAGTCAAACACATTTTCTTATTAATTTATTTTTATTATTTATTTATGGGTAAATGTTCTTTCAGTTGAAGAAGAATATGACAGAAAGCTAAGCAGGCATCAAATAAAGAGGGTTATGAAAAGGGATCAAAAATTGAAAGAGAAAAAGGAAAAAATACAGGAAAAAAAGTTAAATAAAGAGAAAAAGAATTTAACCAAGCAGGAACCACAAAAGAAAAAGAAAAAGACCTCTGTGCCACAATATAACAGTGAAGAATCAGAAGAAGAGGAAGAGAAAGACGATGAGGAAAGTGATGATGAAACTCAAACTGTCGATGAGGGATTGTTACCGTCATCTGCAGGTTTTACAGATGATAATAAGTCATGGTTGAAACCTAAAAAGAGGATTACAATTGAATATAGTGACGAAGAAGAAGATATTGTAAGTATATTATGTATGTTCTTTTCTATCCATTTGTTTTTTGATTGTATTCAGTGGGTTGCCAATTATTTCTTCATTTTTGGATGGAAAAATATATGGGGTGTTTTATTGGAAGAAAACTAAAAATTTTAACTTTTAAAAACAGCATTTTTAACAGGGGTATAATAAATTCCCCATAATTTTTTTTTAAATATAGTACCAACAAAATAAAAAACTCAAGAAGGGTCATTTATTTTTTTCACTAAATAGGTACCTAGATTTAAAATTTGAAGAAATTGCTACTGTCCCTAATAATTTGGCAACTCACTCATTTTGGGCTGGGCCTGGCCAAAAGTCCAAAAGTCAACTTTATCTGATCAAAAAAATAATACACCAATTTAAAGAAAAACCCATAATTTGTAAGATTCTGTAAGAAAAAGTTAAAAAACAAAGATACAGCTGTTTAAAGTAAGATTTTGGATTTGAACAGAATTTTTCTGCCCTTAAGGCACTTATACATAACAAAATATAAAAAAAATAACTCGAAAAAATATTGTTTAAATTAAAGATTCATATAATACAATATTGTATGTTACAAATTGTACTCCAAAGAATAAGGCTATATATGGTTATTATGTTATTAATAAATCTTTTGACACCTAAGAAAGTTATAGTGGTTTATAAAAGGCCGCGCGCTAAGAATTTTGTGTTTAAAATTCTTACAGCTATAGATTGCGCTCTTCTTAAAGCGCTGTTATAATCTTAACTATAATAAATATATGATATATTCTTATTTTTTTATTATTTCATGTTTTATATTTATTAATAAATTTTTTTATTAACATTTTCTTTGTTTTAAATAAATTATTAGTTTCTTAAAACAAATCATGTAGCTATTTGTAATCCTTTACATTTTAGTACCTTGAGGTAAACATAGTTTACAGTAATAAAAACTTATTGATAATCTTTTAAGGTAATGTACCTTTTTTGTAAATTTTTTAGGTATAATTATATGTATATATTTTGATAGGGAATCTAATGTTCTATAAAAAAGGTATCCTATGATTTTTTCGTAAATCAAGACATTCGAAAGATATCTTGGGACAAAATTTTATAGATTTTGAAAAATATATATATATATATTTCAAAATGTTATTACTTCCAGAATAGTTGGGATTTTAAAATAAGTAGTATATATTTTTGTTGGAAATTAATTGATCTACAAAAAATGTTTCTTTAGTTTTTTTGATAAATGTAAGGTTTTTAAATATAATCGCATCTTCAAGCTTTTTTTAATAACTAGGTACCCTAAAAATATTAATTTTACATTGATTTTTTAAATATTTTTATAAATTTGTGTTCTTTCTTATTAATTAAAATAAGCTTTTAATTATTTTAACATTTTATTTCAAAATATTCATTTTTTAAAAACAATTTTTTATCACTTTTGAAAATTTTCATATTAAATTTCGTGCTGCCAACTTAAGTAACACAAAAATATGACAGTTTAAAACCTTAATTTTGCCATTATAACAAATCAACAATTTATTTAGTATGTTGTCTTTTAAGGTAATGTACAAAAAAATTGTGTTTAGTTTTTTTGATAAATGTAAGTGTTTAAATATAATCCCATCCTTTTTTTAATAAAAATATTAATTTTACCTTGATTTCTTTAAATATTTTTAAAAATGTGTCCTTTCTTATTAATTAAAATAAGCTTTAAATTATTTTAAGATTTTATTATGAAATTTTATTTCAAAATGTTTATTTTTTAGTATTCCAACTCACTGTGGTGGTAAAATTTTGGAGTTTTTTATATAAATCTCAAAAAACAATTTTTGATCACTTTTAAAGATTTTCGTATTAAATTTCGTTTTGCCAACTTACGAAACAAAAATATGTCAGTTTAAAACTTTAATTTTACCATTATAAGGAATCAACAATTTATTTAGTATGTTGTTTTAAGTTTTTAATGATACTTTAATTTCTAATAAAGTATTAATTTGTTAATTAAAATAATCTGTCACTGTCACTGCCAAATTTACTGTCATGGCCTACTGTTATCAAACTCTTTAAATGGAGATATCTTTGGGAGATACTACATTAAATGAGGCCTGTCAGAGCAAAGTCAACAATCTACCGTCAGACTAAAACTGAGTAAATTGAGATAATTGATTTTGGTATTTTAAATTCTAGATTTGTAATTTTTTTTATAAATTATATTGAAATATTGTTGTTGTTAGTCTAGTAGCAAACTACAAGGTCTCCAGGATGCATAGTATAGGTGAAATCTATAATTATAAATTGGAGATTGTTGACTTTGATATGAATTGCTGGAGATTGCTCATTTTGTTGTAAACGTTTAAGGAGATTTAGAAAAATAAACAAAAAAATAATTTAATTTTTTTCCTTTAATGTTTATAAAATTTAACTATAGAATCAATGTGGGAAAATTCTGAACTGGACCACATAAATCTGGAGTTAGTATATACACCTATTTTAAATATATTTTTAAGTGCAATTTACTGCAATAGAACTTAACAGTATGTACCAGTAAAAAAAACACAAAATTTAATCTCTATAATACGTTATAACATCAAATGTTAGGATATCAGGTGACACAAATTACTAATTTCTAATGGTGGAATTGGAGATTGTATACTTTGCTGCAAATCGATCAGTGGAGATTGTCGACTTTGCACTAAATGTCATTTTTAAAATAGGATTTTAGGCAGGATTTAGCTCCTTTTGCAGCACATAAACTTTATCATCTTATAGATAATTAGCTGAAGTACAGTCTCCGCCAAAAATATAATTTTTGACCAAAAGTGGAGATTGTCGGTTTTGCTATGACAGGCCTCAAATGTTTATAAATATAAAAAACAAATATTTTTAGGAACAAGCTGAATCAGACGACGATGAAGGCGAAGATGAAGAATTGCAAGAGGAAGACAACTCAGAAAACGAAGAACTTGAAGAGGAAGACGACGCGGAAGCAGAAGAAAGCGACGATGAAGCGGAATCTGAAGAGGAAGAAGACAACCTTAAAGTATCCTCGCTGAACGACCTATCCGACGAGGACGATTCCGACGACGAAAAGGACGAATTCGACGGCGACGACGACGACTTGTTGCCGATCGAAAAGCAGAACATCAAGTTGAAGAAGAGACAGGCCGAAGAGGCGAAATCGGCGGAGGAAGAGATGCAGTTAAACATCGGCGATCAGGAGACGTTCCAGTTCCCCACCAAAGAGTCCGAAGAGGAAGTTAAGAGTCTGCAGGACGTGCAGCAAAGGATCAGGGATGTTATCGTGGTTTTATCCGATTTCAAGAAGTTGAGGGACGAGAATCACGTGAGAGGCGACTACTTGGAGATCTTGAAGAGCGATTTGTGCACCTACTACAGTTACAATGACTTTTTGATGGAGAGATTCATGCAGCTGTTCCCTCTCTCCGAGTTGCTGGAGTTTTTGGAAGCTAGTGAAGTGCAGAGACCGCTTACTATAAGAACCAACAGTTTGAAAACGCGTAGGAGAGACTTGGCGCAGGCTTTGATCAATAGAGGCGTGAACTTGGACCCGATAGGTAAGTGGAGTAAAGTGGGTCTCGTAGTGTACTCGGCGCAGGTGCCCATGGGTGCTACCCCGGAGTATTTGGCCGGGCACTACATAATACAGGGGGCGTCGAGTTTTTTGCCGGTGATGGCGCTAGCGCCGCAAGAAAAAGAACGCGTTCTGGACATGTCGGCAGCTCCCGGCGGGAAAGCTTCCCACATAGCGGCAGTAATGAAAAACACGGGCGTCTTGTTCGCTAACGATTTAAATCGCGATCGCATCAAGGCCGTCGTGGGCAATTTTCACCGGTTGGGAGTCGTGAACTCCGTCATAACCTGCATGGACGGCAGAAAGTACCCGGGCACGATTAAGGACTTCGACAGGGTTCTGCTGGACGCGCCTTGCACCGGTACGGGTGTGGTGGCGAAAGACCAGAGCGTCAAGACCAGCAAAGACGAGCAGGACATCCAGAGGTGCTACAACCTGCAGAGAGAGCTGCTGTTGGCCGCCATAGATTGCGTCAACGCCAAATCGGCCACTGGCGGATACATCGTCTACTCCACGTGTTCGGTTCTGCCAGAGGAGAACGAGTGGGTCATAGATTACGCCTTGAGAAAACGCAACGTCAAACTGGTTGACACCGGTCTTGAATTTGGCACTCAGGGTTTCACGAACTACAGGCATTTTAGGTTCCACCCCACGCTAAAACTAACTAGGAGGTTTTATCCGCACACGCACAACATGGATGGTTTCTTCGTGGCCAAGTTGAAGAAGTTTAGCAATGTTATACCAACATCTTCAAATGACGTTGATGAGGAAGATAATGAGGAAAAAAATGAAAATAACAAGAGACCTTTAGGTGAAGAAGAAGATGAAGTGGATGAAGAGCAACCTCCCAGAAAACAAAAGAAAGAAAATAAGAATAAAAAAAACGTCAAGCAAAATGGTGTAGGGAAGAAAGATGGAAGACCAAACAAGGTTAATAAAAACCAAAATCAAAAACAAAGTCCTACAAAAGATAAGAAACCTCAAAAAGGTAATCAACAAAGTCCTCAAAGTGAGAAAAAACAAAGTCCCAAAAAAGAAAAACCTCAATATTCCAAAAAAGAGAAAAAACAAAACTTAAAAGAAAAAAATGCAAAAAAAGAGAAAGTAGTAAAAACCCCTCAACCAACTTCTGATGCCGTTTCCAGTCCAAAATCGCCAAAGTTGAATGGTAAAAAAAACACAAATGCAGAAAAGGAAAAAGCAGTAAAAACCCCACAACCAAGTCCAAAATCACCAAAGTCGAATGGTAAAAAACCCCAAGACAAAAAAAAAGAAGTTCTTAAAAACAAGATAGAGAAGAAGCAAAAAATCATCACCGAGAATAAAAAAAAACAAAAACAAAAGCTAAAGAAAAAAAACAACTAAGAAATGTTTTTTAATTTGTTGAATATAACGTTATGTTAAATGTTGATTAAATACTGTATTTTTTATTATGACTAAATAAATGACTTAATAATTAGAAATAATTTTTATTTTTTGTCCCCTTCGACTTTTTATACAAATTTTGATAAATTTGATGCGGCATTTTAATCACAAGACTAGAGAAGTTTATAAAACTAATTGCATACTAGGGTGATGCAAAAAAAAAATTTTTTTGAATTCTATGCGAGACCACTCGGGTTTTCAAAGAGTATCAAGAAAATAAAAATCTGTAAAAATTTGAGAGAAATCAATTAAAATTTAGAGGTCGCTCAACGCAATTGTTTAATTTAGAAAAATCACGCATCTCAAATGCATTGCTATAAACAAGTAGGCATATTTCATACAAATTTAAATGAAAATGGTTGAATTTTTTTTTGGTGGACTCTTAATGATTATTCTAATAAATAATGTTGTCCCGATTTCAAAAAAATTTTCATAATATTTAAAAAATATATATTAATTAGGAAATATAGCTTAGTTAACAAATAATTCATTCAATTTTTTTTTTGTTTCAAAATCTGTAAAAACATTGTTAATAGGTCTACAAGCAATTATTCATTCACAAAAACACTCGCCCCCATCGTTAAATATAAGAAAAAAAATATTATTTTAATTAACTACACTTCGCGTCAAATTTAACGCACCACTAAAAGTTTGTCACATTTTCAAAGTTGATTTTCTCGCGAACCGTCAAACCGAATTTAGTGATTTTTATAATAAATTGTAGGTTTATTCTTCGGTAATAATGCGTTTATTAAAATATTTTTTTAAATTAACATTTTGAGTATATACAGGGTGCAAGAGTGATAATAAGTTTTTTCCCGGAAATTTAAAACGCCCTGTGGATTGTACCAGCTATAACAGCATATGTATCTTATAATCAAACTATAGCCTCTTAACATTTTGTGTTTTGATTCACCGCGTTATCTTTATTTTTAAATGAAATATACAGTTAAAGATTAAAGAACTCCAGTTTAATACAAAAATGTAAAAAGAACGATTGTAACAATAACAACAAAAATATTAACAAAATCAATAAAACCAACATTAAAGAATATCAATATCGCGTATTTCTGCCTCTACTTCTAATTATGGCTTCACATCGACGGCTCACACTCGAAACCAGATGTCTAATCTCGTCTTGATCAATGACATTTCATATTTCTCGTAGCATATTTGCTACGTCATCAAGGGAGGCAGGCAAGGGATCATGATTTCTTAGTCGTCTACCACCCATATTATCCCACAAATGCTCGATGGTGTTAAGATCCGGACTATTTGCAGGCCAGTCTAAAGTTTTAACACTCACCTCAAGTAAGTACTCTTGCACTATATAGCATTATCCTGCATCAGTAAAAAATTATTACCGGGCGAAAGGGACAACATGCTCAAATAAAATGTCTTCGATATATCGTACACTATTCATGGTACCTTAATCTTTAATCTTTGAATGTATATTTCATTTAAAAATAAAGATAACCCGGTGAATAAAAATACAAAATGTTAAGAAAACATGGGGCTATAGTTTGATTATGAGACATATGCTGTTATAGCTGGTACAACCAACAGGGCGTTTCAAATTTCCGGAAAAAAACTAATTATTACACTTGCACCCTATATATACTCAAAATGTTAATTTAAAAAAATATTTTAATAAACGTATTATTACCGAAGAATAAACCTACAATTTATTATAAAAATCACTAAATTCGGTTTGACGGTTATATATGTATATACTCAAAACTTAAATTTAAAAGAATTTTTTAATAAAGGCATCATAACCAAAGAATAAACCTCAATTTTAAAACAAAAATTACCAAATTCGGTTTGACGGTTCGCGAGAAAATCAACTTTGAAAACTTTTAGTGGTGCGTTAAATTTGACGCGAAGTGTAGTTAATTAAAATATTATTTTTTTTCTCATATTTAACGATGGGGGCGAGTGTTTTTGTGAATGAATAATTGCTTGTAGACCTATTAACAATGTTATTACAGATTTTGAAACAAAAAAAAAATTTAATGAATTATTTGTTAACTAAGCTATATTTGCTAATTAATATATATTTTTTAAATATTATGAACAATTTTTTGAAATCGGGACATCATTATTTTTTAGAATAATCATTAAGAGTCCACCAAAAAAAAATTCAACCATTTTCATTCAAATTTGTATGAAATATGCCTACTTGTTTATAGCAATGCATTTGAGATGCGTGATTTTTCTAAATTAAACAATTGCGTTGAGCGACCTCTAAATTTTAATTGATTTCTCTCAAATTTTTACAGATTTTTATTTTCTTGATACTCTTTGAAAACCCGAGTGGTCTCGCATAGAATTCAAAAATTTTTTTTTTTTGCATCACCCTATTGCATACTATACCTTTTCTACCAGGAACACAAAAATTAAATGATAAACTTCTGTGAGGCGGTTCTAACCTTACTTTTTAAAGATCATTTGTGGAACACCCTCCTAATGTTAATAATCACTATAGAATCTCCAATCTCTCTTTGATTTTTTTCTTGTGCCATTAAAATGATATTAGGAATGTTTAAACGACTTCGAAAAATATATTTATCTCCACGCGGTCTATAATTTAAACTTTATTGTTGTCAACATTCGATAAAGAAATACCTTGTTATGGCCAGTAATTAGTTCGATTTTTTTCTCGCTAGGGGTATTGTTTTGACAAATTAATCCTTTTCTAAGAAATTAACGTACTAAACAGGTTTAATTTATTTATAATAAGCACTAATTTGTTTGTTTTACTGTTAATGTTTAATATTTTTCATTAAATTATTGTAAAATTAAATATGAATAATAAAACAAAAAGTGAGGTTAGGCAACCAAGAAAACGCACGATTCTTTTTCTACGATTTAAATTATCTTTAAGTTTTAATTTGCTTTAAGTTTTCAGTGAAATTAAATGTTAAACACAGCTTAAACATTCCAAACTAGCTATTTTTAAATAAAAATCCAAACAAATTGAAATTAGATACATACCTATTTATTAAACAATTAATTGAATTCAATGTAATATCAAAAATCCATTTCTACTTAAATCATGTTGCTAGGTATTGTCAAACTATTACTTCTTCCAAAAGCAATAATAATTATTGTACATTTAATGTAATCTTTAGCTAATAAATAAATGAGATTCTAAAAAAGTGAGGTTAGGCCGCTTTGATGTTGAATTAAATTGACCTATATAATGTGCTTTGAAGATAAAATGTTGTATGCCATTCGGCCAAGAAGTGCCTTTTTGAGCTTAGCACAAAAAGCCTTAATTCTTAACCTATTGACATAAATAACTATTATATTTTTAACACAAAATAATAAAACGATTTTCTTATACTTTCGACCCAATGTAAACCTTAGCAGCAGCGGCATGCAGGAAAACGACGGCGTAAGCTGAAGCTAAATCCGTTTTAGATTCACTTTCGCGGTCCACCTACGCAGAGTGCCTTGCCCCGCCCCACCCTGGCCGCCCGCCGCCGCCTCTGACACCCACGTCTTCTCCAGGGTTGTGTGAGGCGGTATCTGCCGCTCCTCTGCTGGCTACCGCTCCTGCTATTCTTACACTTATCGATGACACTATCCCTTAATTCGACCCCGCTGAAATTTCATTCATTATTTGCTCTATGAATGAAGGATTATGAGAAATGTTACTAAAATATTTTATTAAAAAAAAATTAAATACAATATGCAGAACGAATAATTAGGAGTAGGTGGTTGTCCACAAAATCCAGTATCACTTAAACTATATAATACATGTTTATATTCTAAATAAAACTATACTGTACGATTAAAAATAATTAAATACTGATTCCAAAAACGTTTTTTATTATTATTATTTATGTTAGAAAATTTCAATTAAAAAATAATATTTTAATTATTTTAAATCCCAAATAATTTGTTTTCAATTGGTCTGAGATTTCAATTGGTTTTAATCCACGTTTAAATTTGGCGATAGCAATAAACTTAGTTGGCATTCAAAATGATAAAAAACGATTGAAATTTTTCAAATATTTGTTTGAAAAAATATTGGTAGGTATGTATTAGTTGCAAAAATGGCGAATGCGCCGGGATACTTAAGTAATAATAAAATAAAGTTCTTTTTTTATCTGGACTGCGGCAACGTTGCAAATTTAGGGATTTGGTTGGTAAATAGTTGTCAAGTTGGTGGCATTGATTAAAACAAACTAAGCTAGTTATAAATCCAATTGTGGTTATGTATAAATTATTGTAGGTTACATTGTGCAGTTGTCAAGTTGAGTTGTCGAAATTCGTAGTTAAAAATGCAATTAATTTCATATAAAAAAAGTAGTTAAATATAGGTTGCTTTACGGCCCAGAAGAGAAAGTATTCCTAGCGGATAATAAACTTCGCTTTAAAAAGAATTTATATAAAAGAAATTCAAAATTTTTGTGAACGTAAATGTTGTCCAATGGTGAATAATGTGAAAATAATGTGTGATGTAATATTTATAAAACCAAATTCGTTACTTTTTTACTTCAAAAATGTCCATGAGGCGATGTACTTTTTCTTCCATTGTGGCATTTGGCATAATTTCATCAAAATGAAGTTTTGCCTTCAAAAGGGCTTTTACATTCGAATTCGTTGCTATTATTTTTGTCAAAATTATCTTTTTATTTATAATTGACAAGTAAATTATCAATAATAAATATGTCAAAGTATTTAATTAAATTCTTTAGCAGAAGTACCATTTTTAAATACTAAAAATACTAAGTCAAACTGGCATAAGCCACCAACCTAACAAAAAAACACGAGCCCAGATAAAAAAAAATGAACTGTACCTACTTTTTTGTTGTATTTAATATACAAAATTGCAATATTAAGTAATAAGGAACAATTATTTTTACTTACAAAAGTTGCGTAATTACAAGTTTATTAAAATGGCATTTAAAATTTGATAAAAAAATCAGCCGTTCTCAAATAATCCGAAAAAAAACTGATAACCTGTCAAAACCAAAAATTGTTATAACTTCGTTATTTCTGGGATTTTGAAACAAAGTAATTTTCTCAGGTAAACATACAAATTTATCTACATTATCAATCAATTTGTCATTTTTT